GGGGGGGGGGGGGGGAGAGAGGGATGAATGATGGGTTTCGTTACATGAAGACGTCACTATCGATTATAACAAGGAGTAAGTAATAGCGCCCAGGCGCGGCTCGATCGATGGAAGGGAGAAAAAAAGATCAATCAGCGGATCAGGATCAAAGATCGAAAAGGTTGCGATAACCATGACGAGATTAACGGGGTAAAATGACACGAGCCACGATCCTCGAAGAGACGGAGGATACCGCAGAGAGAAACGTTACGAGTAGTAGATAGCATCATTGTGATCACTGCGATCACTGCGTACGAGTAGGACTTGTTTCAGTTGAGAGGTGGGAGTATCTTTTCTTTGCTACAAGCATTGCACCATGATGATCGATGATTTACTTACTCCATCATTGATTGCTTCATGTCGGTTTCAATCTCTCGTTGGTGAGTGTACTCTTGCTCTCACTCTTATTTTCTCTTCTATGCTTTCCACGATCAATAACTAACTCCATACTCGTCATTGGTATCACAAGACGATAGCAAAGTTCATAAAAACCAAGATGGCGATCCAGATCGAGGGGCCAAAAAGCCAAAACAAAAAATGTCATCGAAATCTTGGGTTCCTCGGCAAAGGAAGACACATCCGTCCACCAACGATTGCATCACTTGAACCAGTCGGGGGGCTCAAACTCCCAATTCCGTCCTTTTAGCGATGAATGAGGCTGATTTGCGGGCCTTCATCTCCTTTCCTTTTGTCTTCCCCAGCCATTCTCCATCCCTAATCCTACGATGGGTACGGGTACGAGTACTCCGTAAGAGGCTCATCATGCAACGGACGTTCCCCCTACAAATCACAAAACTTTGGCCTGACACAAAGTGCCACCAACTTCTCACTCGGTCCCGTGTGACCTGCAGAAAATGTGCCACACCCCATGGATGACGCGCCTGCAAGGATCTTATTCTCATCGCGACGAATTACTCTTCTCCGTATCACAGGCTGCACGAGGTTCGAGTACACAGTACGGTGTACTGCACGTTTTGTGTCACAACAATTTTCCGACTTGATGATGATCTACAAACTCGAACAGCCGTGGTCTATCGATCCAGTGGGTAGATCATAACGTCAGAACGAGGCTGTTGGAGTTAAAATATCCGAGCTCAAATGGCCAGTCTTGTCCAACATCATTACTTATCAACACGGCCAAGTTGATTGATTTTCCTGCATCCGTGCGTTTTGCAACATCCTACAAGAATACCAACCACCACTGACATAACAACCCGCCCAACAACGTCAGTCACGTGGCTGACAACTTCTCTCGCCACCAAAAAAGAAAAAGGAAACGCCGAAATCGTATCTCCGATGCGGAACCTCTCTCCGGGGATGCAAAAGAAAGCCGTAATGAAGCGCTCGACATGTTCGGAAGTAGTCCAACATTATGGATGCAATCCCTCAATTCTACTTACTCCGTACTTGTTCAATCTAATCGCTATGAAACGCTCCGCTGACAATATGCAATGGACAATTTGAGGCAGAAAATGCGCTCAAACGATATCCATATCCGACAACACCCAAACCACTTTTTTTGGTTCCAATTTCAAAATTACCGATTACACCGACGCATCCGCAGCCCGACTCTTACCAACGTGACCCATGTAGTTCAACGCACTCCCGTGCTTGAAATACTGAACTTGAGCGTCGGTAAACGTGTGGTTCAATTGACACGACCATTCGGACCCATCTGGTCTTCGTACTTGCATCGTAATCTGTTGACCGGGTCGGAGCTCGCCGAGACCAACGAGACTGATACGGTCCCGAGGCTGGATACGGTCGTAGTCGGCCGCATCGTCGAACGTCAAAGCCAAGAGTCCTTGCTTCTTCAGATTGGTTTCATGGATACGAGCCAAACTCCTGGCGATGACGGCGACACCGTTCAAGAACCGCGGCTGAAGGGCCGCATGTTCTCTGGAAGATCCTTCGCCGTAGTTGGAATCTCCAATGACCACCCAAGGTTGCCCTCGAGCTTTGTAGTCCTTGGCCGTCTGTGCGATTGGTCCATACTCGTTCGTGAAGACGTTCCTCACCGAGTTCACCTGGTCGTTCTCCGCGTTGGTCGCCCCGATCAAGGTATTCTCCGAAATGTTCTCGAGGTGACCTCGGAATCGAAACCAAGGTCCGGCGGGGGTGATGTGGTCGGTGGTACATTTCCCCTTGACCTTGACCAGGATGGGCAAGTCGTGATAGTCCTTGCCGGACCAGGCGGGGAATGGTTGAAGGCGCTGCAGACGTTCAGAGTCGGGATCAATGTACACGTCTCCAGAAACCTCCCCGGTTGGTGCTTTGTAGGTGGCATCTGCATTTTCATATCGGGTGGGAAGACTAGATCCGAATGGAGGCTCAAACCGAAAGTCTTTGCCGTCGGGGGTCTTGATGCTATCTCTGATCGGGTCGAACTTGAGGTCACCTGCGAACGTCTTCACAATGACCATCTCTGGTGATGCGATGAAACTCTTGGTCTCGGGGTTTCCGTCGATCCGGCCTGTGAAGTTACGATTGTATGAGGAAATAACCGAGTTTGAAACACCCTGTAGGTGAGGCAACGTCAGTATCACCACCCAAAAACAGGCAACAACGCTCGACTTACTTTTTGCATATCTTCTCGGGCCCAAGAACCTGAGCAAGGACCGCAAGCGTTGGCCAGAATAGTGCCGCCTGATTGTTTCAGAATGTCGACGATACCAGCCTTTTCCAATGTTCGACGGGTTTGTTCACTACCCACGGTGACGATAAAGGGAATTTTGGGCTTGATGCCCGCGTCGAGCGCCTGTTTCGCAAGACTCGCAACTCGGTTCATGTCTTCAAAAGACGAATTCGTGCACGATCCAATGAGACCTGCAGTAAGTTGTGGCCAGTTGTTTTCGGTCACAAACTGTCCAAACTTGGACACAGGGGTCGACAAATCTGGCGTGAACGGTCCATTGATCCTTGGCTCGAGTTCAGAGAGGTCGAGTTTGATGACCTGATCATACTCTGCTCCCTCGTCGGCCCGGAGATTGGGCAATCGCTGTTGGACCCTGTCTCGAATGTAGCCCCGACCAGTCGCGTTCAGGTAAGCTCCCATGGCTTCAGTATAAGGAAAGATGGAGGTTGTGGCACCCGTCTCCGCGCCCATATTGGTTATCGTCGCCATGCCCGTACATGATAATGTATCAACTCCCGACCCAAAATACTCAATGATGGAACCAGTCCCTCCTTTGACTGTAAGTCGCCTGGTGATGTCCAGGATAATATCTATGTCCAAGATCAGACCACTTTCTCCTACACATTCACAAGCACTCACCTTTAGGTGCCACCCATCCCGACAGCTTCCCGGTTAGCTCGACACCGATAATGGTCGGTGATTTCAAACTCCAGGTTTGCCCCGACATGACATCGACCGCATCTGCACCTCCAATACCTATCGCGGCCATACCAAGTCCACCCGCATTGGGAGTATGGGAATCGGCGCCAATCATCAGCCCTCCAGGGTAGGCATAGTTCTCCAGCACCACCTGATGGATGATTCCAGCTCCTGGACCCCAGTAGCCGATACCGTACTTTTGGGAAGCCTTTTCGAGGAAATCAAAGACCTCTTTGCTCGATGACAGAGCAGCCGCAAGGTCAATATCATTACCTTTTCTGCCTGTGATGAGGTGGTCGCAGTGGATCGTGGTTGGAACTGCTACCTTGTCCAATCCAGCCGTCATAAATTGCAACAAGGCCATTTGCGATGTCGCATCTTGACAAGCTACTCGACTTGGTCGTAATTCCAGATTCGACACTCCCCGGTCGATTGTTGCTGACTCAGGTTGATCTAGATGACTGTAAAGCACCTTCTCCGCATATGTCAATGGTCTCCCAAGTCTTTTGCAGACAATGTCAGTCAGTAGTGCTCCGTCGAGTAGGACTGTTCTCGAGTCTTACCGATCCCTAATCAATTTGATATTGGCATCGAGTTGCTCAAAGTTTATGAATCGATCATTCTCAAATCGACTCATTGGCGTCTTTGGAACAGATGAGACCGTGGCATATCCCGCCCGACATGTCCTAGAGCGTCTAGGGGCCGTGATACGACACCTCTTCGACCATAGTCGCTGTGATGTGTGCGAGATTCGCTGCGACATTATGGGAAGGTCGACTACGGTATGGATGGGTGTGATGTTAAAAAGTTGGGATGTGAAGTGAGAAATATATAACCACCGAATCTTCCACGACACGTCAATACATACCTCGGCTGACTTTTGTTTGTGCTCTGTTTGGATGTTGAGGTACTGCGTAGTTTGTTTCGTGGTTGAAGGAGGGCGCGGCGACAAAACCGATATCGGATTTTGCATTCCCCGCCGGTCTTACCATTTTGACTGCAAACAACACCAAACAGCCAATACCTTTCAGCATGAGAGAGGCTGACAAACATCTTGACCTCCGAATAGATTGCGATTGTACCGAGTGTGTTTGTAAACGTCGAAAGTGTGCATGGCCACAACAACCTACCTTGATTGGGAAGAAACTCTGCGTCTGGCTCTGGACATTGCAGTAGCTGATTATATGTGAGCAAGAATATAATGTCTACAGCAGCGCCATCCTGTTCGTCCGACTAGGATGCAGACTTTTGCGGTAACACCTCCTGCCAAAGCATTTTGGTAGAGTAAAGATGGTGTTGTGTTGCCGTCAACAAGAACGCGAAGATGATCGTGGGTGTTCGGATATGACAAAGAATATTCAATTTTCAGCTTTCTCGAATTGATATTTACCTGATTACAAGTCTCGACAACGAGAAACACCACTCGTTTGGAAGAGATAGTATAAGAAGTAGGTATGAAAGACTGACAAACTTGCTGAAACTGAAATGATAGATTGCGTCACGTGCTATTCGTCACGTGTTTGACCTTGCTTAGCTAAGATTTGACGACTTTTTGTCTTCGTATTTCCCCAGCCGAGGTCTACGCGCGAATCGTCCGCATTGTCCGCTTCCTTTTGATACCATCAAACAACATCATATGCGGCCCCGATGGCACGTGGGCCAGGCCGGTAGTAATTCGAGTCTCCAGCAGCTGCAGTGTATCTATCACGGATGAACACCATGGACGAGACAGAAACAAATCAAGTCAATCATCACCCCGCGACTGTGTCGTCTGATGCTAGCCCTCCAAAGCCGAAGCAGACCCGACGACATCCCAGCAAAGCCTGCAATGAATGCAAGCAACAAAAGGTATACTACGACTGTCGCATGTTTGAGAAGGATCAATTTCTGACATGTCCTGCCCACGCCAGTTGAGGTGCAGTGCTCCGACCGACTATCCAGAACCGTGTTCTCGATGCAAGAAGTTGGGGCTTACCTGCAAAGTTGAAGACGGGTTCCAGCGCGTCAACAAGCGAAGGTCAGTATGTCCGACCGTGGGACATTGCGAGACTGATCTAGCAAAGGAGGACCGAAGCTCTGTATCAAGAGAATGCGAACCTGAAGCAGCAACTAGGCGCAAGCCGGTCTCCTCCTGAATCCGTCATTGACCAGAACGGCCGGGAGGAGACCCAGGATCCAGCAACAAACGAGCAATCGAATCAAGCAATTTCCACTTCGAATTCGTTTCTGAACAACGGAGAGTCCGAATCGACGAATGTCTTGCCCAGATCTTCGACCGTAGAAGCAGAAGTACATTTTACCCCGTCCTGGAATCAACCATTTGCTCAAGGCTCGACACGACATTCTCCGCATTCAACTGCGACTGTGTCTCGCTCCCTTGCAGGAATGACGGTCGAAGCAGATGAAATCGATGAGATTTTCAGACTGTGAGTATTATCTCTTTATGTCGACTGGAGCCTTTGAAGAAACGGCAATGCTGAACGAAGCTTCAGGTACTTTGCACATTATCATGCCCACCTACCCTTCCTCGACCCCAACATCTCACCAAACAGCTACTACGACCAATCTTCTTTGATCTTCTGGGCCATCATCGGCGTGGGCGTCCGTAGATACACTGCGAACCCGACGTTATTAGGCTCTCTCGCCGAGCCTATCCTTCATCTTGCCTGGCCACCTCTCCACCCCACTCCGGCTGTGATTCCAGCGATCCAAGGCCTCCTGCTCCTCTCGTCGTTTCCTTTCCCTACCGACTCGACGTCCAAAGACACCTCTTACACTCTATCCGGCATGGCAATCAACCTGGCCCTACAAATCGGTCTTCACGTCCCCACATTCTCCCAAGACTATAGCAGGTCCAAAATGACCTTGACGCAAGAAGACATTCAACGTCGCCTGCAACTTTGGTTCCATTGTATCGTCGTGCATCAGAAGTGAGTACCTGTTTTTCGAATCATGCAACACCACACAAGCCTTGCTGACCTATTCCTCCTCCTCCAGAGCCGCGTGCGGATTAGGCTACCCGATCATGGTATCTCCCGACCAACTCCAGAGGCAAATGGACCTGCGTGGCCTCATGGACTCGATGACTCCTCTGTTGTTACTCGAGATGAGACTCGGTAGCCTCCTCAGCCGTGTCAACACCCTGTTCTCACCTTCGACGTTCCGTGTCGAGGATGCTCAGGACAAGCATTCCCGCTTTGCGCGAGACATGATGTCTGACACTTTTGAAAACCAACTTGATGAACTCGAGTCGGAGCGGAAATTATCTGGTGAGTTGTCAAAGGAGAGGTGGTTGAAAGTTTCCAAACCTTGATACTTGAGGGTTTGAGACCAAAATCGAAACCATGCGACTAACGAAGAACTTTTGTCGTTGCAGAACTTGAAAAACTCTACATCGACATAACACGTCTTCAAATACGGGTGCATTGCCTACAGGACCGGGAGAACCCAGCGACGAGTGTCAAAGTGACTCAATTGGGTCTGTGCGCTACGTCCATCATCGAATCCATTGAACGACTCGAGGTTGAAATGTCCCTCATCCAACATTGTCCACACTACATATTCCGCATGACGGCTCTCGCGGCGTCGGTCCTCCTCCGTCTGTCGAAACAATCTCGACCCACGTCGTCACGACCACGAAAGACCAGCGTCGGTGACGACCAGAACAACAGTAGTGGCAGCACCACCACCACCACCCGCCAAAACCACGCCAGACAGCGGTACAAGACTTATTTCTTCCAGACGATATCCCTCTTGCGAAAAATGTCGGTCGAGAGCAACGACATGCCGAGTCGAATGGCCAAGATCTTTTCACAGCTCTGGAGCATCGACAAGATCTTTGAGCAGACGACGACGACGACGACGTCTTCTGCCACTCCCGCCGCCGCGACGACGACGACGGCTTCTTCTTCCTCCGTCACTGCTACCGCCGCCGCCGACGGTGTCGTGAGCCCAGAACAAGAATCCTCCACGTCGGCGGTGTCTTCCGCGACATCCCCTCTCGTCGTGCACAGCAGGTTGTCCATGAGCGTTTTGCACGACGCCATGTGGAGGTGGAAGGATCGGTTCAAATGGGCCTCTACTAATTCACAGCCCAGCCGCCGACATCAACACCAACAACATCATGAGCATCATCAAAATCATCATCAAAATCATCATCAGAACAATTCGAGGAAAATTGGTGGCATGTCACTGTCGTCATCATCGGCGTCGGCATTACCGTCGAACACAGACCACCACCACCAGCAGCATCACCAGCAGCAGCAGCACCGTCATTCTTTTTCCGGTGCCACCACGGCCGATAATGGCAACGTGAACGTGAACAACCTCGGAGTGGCCACCGCAACGTCGGAGAATCAACAACAATACCCGAGACCGTTGTCCACCATCCCGCCTGTCTCGGGGGGCTTCACCCCGTCTTACAACTTCTCGACCGTGAACATGACTCCTGACCTCGCCAACGCCAACGGTACCGACGGCGGTGGTGGTATGATGATGCCGTTCGTCGACAGTTTCTCACCCCTGGGTTCCTTGCCGTGGGACGCCGCGGCGAACCAAGACTTTGAGATGATGATACACAGCTTCCCGGAGTCTTGGCCCGTGTGACGAAAGGAGATGGACAAGACACACAAACACACGGCGAAAATCTTTTTCATCATGTAGTCAGACGCCGTTCAAAATTGTTGATAAAATGTCTCAAAGAGACAGAGATTTGGTGTCCGTAATATGCAGATGGCATCTTTTGTAAGAGTACTCGGTACATCCAGAGAAAATCATACCATATCTCAAGGACATCTTCTTTCCCATCCTTACTTTCCTTTTCTCCGCCCCCTTCCAAATCCCTTCGTATCATACTCTCCAGGTTACAAGGGTATATATGCGAACCGAAAAAACAGAAACCCACATTTCTTTCCGCCGCGAACCATCGATATGATGTTGGTGGTGGTGATACAAGAACATTTACCTCGTCTCTTCGTAAAACGCATTATTTCACTCTTCTTTTTCCCCCTCTCATTCTTTTCCTTGTGGGACCTTTCTTCCAAAGACTCTGGCCAAACCTCATCGAGCATGATAATCAATCACGCCCAAACTCTGTCTCATCTGAGATAGTCTCTCGGGCGCAGCTGGCGGAGAGTTCTGCTGCTCGTCGTTTTCTTGGTCGTTGGTACCTAGCTTCCCCCGTCGTCCGTCGTCCAACCTGCTGCCATGTCGTTTGGACGACGACATGAAGGAAAATTCCTTGAGTCCAGGCAACCGGGCGATCCTCTTGCCCGCCTTTCCGACCCGCTCTTTTTCCTTTCTCGACTCCGTCCGGGTCTCGGCCATCGAGTCCTGTCTCAGTCGTCCCGTCGATCCCCGACTCGGACTGCTACGGTCATCGAAAGTCTGGAGGGACTGAAACTGAGTAGGGTCGGTGTTGAGGGCGTCGGTGAATTCCATGTGCCCGTCATCCGTCTTGGACTCGAGGTCGTGGTCGGCGACCAAGGCGAAACTCCGTCTTCGCATTTCATCCTGTCGCATACGTTTGATGCCCAACCTCTTCAACTCGGTCTTGAAATCGTCCAACATGATGGTGTCGGTGAGACATTTGAACACCAAACTTAATTTCCAAAATGGGTTGATTCTGACAAACGCAAAAAAGAAGGTTGACGATGGTCAGTTGGTTTTTTGTTAAAAAAAGAAAGAAGAGAGAGCGACACCAAAAAAAACATACCCATCGGTCGACCCGATGAAATTGTGAATACTGGCCACAATATCAAAGGCCGTGAAGATCATCGCCAAACAAATGGCGACCAACAAGATACCAAACCGAGGTGATCGTTTGATGAGTTCAAAAACCCCGGTGCCGTAACATTTGCGGATGACGTGGAAGAGGACAAAGCAGGAAAAACACCACCATGGGTCTCTGCACGGAAATTGTCAGAACAAAACGAAAGTCCTGCAAGTGAGTGCCGACGTACCGCATCAATGGCTCATACGGCCTGACCTTGGTGTAAAAGTCGCTGATGTTGTTGAAGAACCGAAAATTGTCATAAATCTGCAAGATGATGGGCGGCACCGTACAAGCGAGGGTTCCCAAGTATATCCTTCGCACCCATTTGCCCGTCGAAGGTTTGAACATGGACCTCGAGTCGGTGAAGAAGGGTCGAATCTTCATCCACGCCACGATGTTGTGGACGATCCAAGAACAGTAAAGCAACGCGGCCGTCGAGGACAAGTACCATCCGTAACCGTCAAAGGACATGAAACAGAATGTTCCTGCCGCCACCCAAAAAAAAATCAGCAACGTGTACAATGGGCGCATGCATAACATGGCACCGTTTTGTTTTCCGCGGCCGACCAGGGGATGACTGTCCACCCGGGGCGTACATACCGTGAGACAGAGCCGCGAGTTGCTGTTTGGGGGGGTTTTATCCTCTCGTCAGCACAAACCGAATTTCTTTTTCTTGGTTAACCGCAAGTGCTTTGGCGCACTCACCTCTACCAAAATCAACTTGTGCAACAAAACTTTCCTCCTCATGTTCGCAATGGTTATCGCGGCCATGATGAGGAGTGATCCCACCATGAAACCTTGACTCCATGACTCGAGGATGAAGTCTTCATCGGACGCGAATGCGCGCCAACTACCGTCTACGGGATCACTGCGCCGCCGAAGAGGTATTGAAGACGACTCGAATGTGGGGGCCATGTAGATGTATTTTTTTGGGTCTTTTTCAATAAGGTTCGTCTTCGCCGTCGTCAATGCGCGAGGCTGTCATTGCCGGTACAGCCCCGTCGCCCCGTTGGGAATGCGCCTGTGCGCTTGTGGCTGAGGGTTCCTCTCAGGGTCCCGAATGCGAGAATGACAGGACCAAATGTGCTCAGGGAGGTAGGTGTACGAAGATGGTTTGTTCAACAGAGAGAGTCTGCTCGAACTCTGAGAGTGTGTCGCGCGGAGACAGAAAGAAAGTTCAAGTAGGATGTTGTGCGGCTGAACAAGCGAGAAGGGAGGACATTGGAGAATTGCGTGACCACGAGAGCGTCTTGCTCGTTACCGATGTCGCAGCAAAGGATAGAGGAACACTGAGTAATGATTACAGGTCGTGACGAGTTGGGAGTGTAACAAACGGAAACAGAGAGAGAGAGAGAGAGAGAGAGAGAGAGAGAGGAACGAGGAAGTCGAGATTTCCAAAAGTACAGTAGTCTGCAAAAGTGCAGTAATAGTCTCGCACCTACTCCGTAGGTAAGATTTTACTCCCGTATGGACGGTTAAAGTGTATGGGAAGGGAATTGACCGAGAACGGCGAGGCGCACAAGAGGGAGGCGTGTGTATTACTGTTATTAGCGGGACTTGTCGAGTCCATCGTTTGAGAAAAGAACATACAGTACAGTACGGAGTAGGCTTGTAACTCTTAACTGCGTACACTTACAGGGGAACTCACCAAGGGAAGCACTTGTTGGTGGGCTAACTAGGTAGGCAGGGTATCTAGGGGAGTAACGAAAGTAACCGAGTATTGGGGGCTGACAATTTGAGCCTCTCATTACAGGTGTGAAAGTAGGAAAAGGCGGGAGCAAAAAAGGCTGTGGATCGTCTTCGGGCTCATTTAGGGCTCTGTTAGGGCTGTTTCTTGACATACTCGGGTGTAGTTTGGTGGCTCCGATTGTACGGAGTACATTAATAAAAGTCTGCCTCACTTACGCCCCGCCCGCCTATTGTGCTTACAGTACGGAGTAGGTATACATACAAACTCTGTACGGAAGTATTTGTTGGAGGTTTAACTATACAAGGGTCCCCTCAAAAGGTGGCGCCCCCGCGAAAAGTAATAATCCCCCTCTCCCCCCGACTTTTGTCCTTCCCAGTACCATGGAACTGAACCTTTGTTACGAATAGCCAAATGCAGAAAAAGTGAGGCTCATCATACGGGAAGTATTTTCTTTCCAAACACGAACACGAACACGAAAAGTAGTCCATACTTTTTCTTTCGTAAACAATGGCTGGGCTTGTCAGTATTGGAATGATTCCTGATTGAAGCAACGAATAAAAAAGAGAAAGTCACAAGGATTTGTCGTTGTGACTCTTTAGTCCTACCTTATAACTAGTTATAAAGTACAGTACTCTTCGTACGCCCTCCCCCCTCCCCCCTCCCCCCCTCACGACGAATGACAAACTTGTCAACCCATCCGGTCACGGGTCAAGTCGGTCAGTGGGCTCGAACAAAAAGAAAACAAGGCAGACTTTTGTTGAAACTCGCGCGATTGAAAATCCACCCCAGCTTTGTACGGCGTTATAGGCTTGCCAATAATGTGCCAAAAAAAAACCAAGCCCCGTCTACTTTTTTTGGTTACTCCCGTACAACGGAGTACTCGTATTACGGAGTATGCGTTCATTGATCATTGATCATTGTTGATCTGTGATCACAAACCCACCCTGCGAGTAAAAGGAGGGACCTATGTATGGACGAGTTCGCCCTCACCCCGTCATATTTCTTTCAACACCGGTGATCGTCCCAATCATTCCCAAAGTCAGGTCATTCTCGGCAAACGATTATTCCGATCTTACATCGTCATCGTCATCGTCATCGTCATCGTCGTTGATTGTCACTTTCTATGTAAACTCCGTTATCTCGTATGACCAGCCAACTTATCGAAAGCCTATAGAATCTAAAATCTCCGTAAAGAGAGAACTCTGGCGCGTGATGTGCGCTCGAAGAAGTGCCTTGGTCGAAACTTCAACGGAGGGTCCGGCAGTTGTATGGCGAAATCTAAAGTAGAAGGCGAATCAAAAATATTCTGTATGGCATACTCATTTCAACAACAAAAATATAATAAAAAACAATTCTCATACGCCGAAGCCGTAATGGTTTGGAAAAAAAGGGCTGAGGTGGGTAAAGTGCTGATAAACAACAATCTTTACAATACACCTTAGGCGTACTGTAGAGAAAACGATCCAGACTCGTGCCATACTGATCCAGAAAAAGAAGAAGTCTCTCGTGTCCTACCCTTATTTCCTCACTTCTCATACAAGGCAACCTTGCAACCGACACCACTCGACAAGGTGATCGTCAGCCATTCCCTCCATTCCCGTTCGTCCCTGCTTTCGATCCTGGGGAATGTCTGGATGAGTCTGATGGTCGCGTAACTCGCCTCCATCAGCGCGTACTGCTGGCCGACGCAGATGCGCGGGCCGCCGTTGAAAGGTAGGTACTCCCAACCGGGCCTCAGCGTCTCCCACCTCTCCGGCTTGAACTCCAGCGCGTCCGGGCCGTAAAAGTCTTCCCGGCGGTGCATGGACCACGGGGAGTAGGCGACGATCTCGCCCTCCTTGATGAGCACGGGCGATTGGCCGTCCGGACCACCGCCGACCGGCAGGACGGTGTCCCTGATGGCCTCGCGGCTGTTCCCCGGGACCACGGGCATCAGGCGGAGCGACTCGTTCAACACCCATTTCAGGTACTTCATGTCCTTGATCGCCGCGTAGTCGGGTCGTTCGCCGCCGAGCTCCTCCACCTCCGCCCTCAACTTCCGCCAGATGTCGGGCCGCTTCGACAGGACGTGCCACGTGTTGGAAAGGAGACCCGCCGTGGTGTCCCGTCCGGCGAGGAGGATGTTGAGGAGTTCGGAGCGCAACGCGTAGAGGTCCTGCGTCTGCCGAAGCAGTTCGCGCAAGAACACGTAGCGACGACCGCTGCGCCCAGGCTGCTGCTTCTCCTTGGTGGCTTCATCCATGGCTTCCCGGATGATGTCGTCGGCAAAGTCGTGCATGATCTGGATGCTCTTTTTCCATTTCTTGTCCGGGAGGTATTCGGTGAGACCGCCCGAGGCGAAATTCTTGGAGACGGCTGTTGCACGGTGTAAGCAGGGGGAGATGATGCATTTTAGCGACCCGCTCCAAAAACTTGTAGACTTACTTTCGGTGACATATACAAAGGCCTTGACAAACTCATTGGCGGACTTGGTTTCCAATCCCGGCGCCAGCGTGTTGGTCGATTGACCAAACAGGAATTCCGTCGCCGAATCCATGGTCAGACCGAAGAACAAATCCTGTAGGTCAACTGTAGATCCGTCCCGGGGGATCGAATCTATCAGATGAGACACGTGCGCCTCGAACATGTCGAGATCTGCGACTTGCTGTCGTGTGAAATTCGGTCGCACCATGGATCGTGACCTCTCCCAGGCAGCGCCGTCCGTGGCAAAGATGCCGTGTCCGAAAATGGGCACAAAGACTTCTTTCCGTCTTCGACCCAACGAGTAATCGGCGAACCTCGTCGACAGGATGGTCTTGACGTTCTCTGGCTCGATGGTCGAGATGACTTGAAGGCGCCCCCAAATGTTAGCGACTTTGACCATCATACTCCCATGGGCCACGTACATCTTTGTCTCAGAACCTTGACCTTCAATGTCTTTCTTCCGTCGGAAAAGTTCCTCAGTCGAGTGGCTTCGTGCATGCGGCCTTCCTTTCCCGATTTTACCATTTCCTTGATGACGTCCAACCCAAGCAATTTACCACCAATCCCCTTGTGAGGGTACTGGTACACGGGCTCGCAGCCATTCTCTCTGATCATCCGCCTCCGTCGAGCACCAGTGGTCAACTCAAAGTAAATCCGGTGAAGGGCAAACAACGCTACAAAAGCGATGATGAGAACGGGGAGTGAGATGTTTGGAACAGAAAGGAGCGCCATGGTTTGATTTGGTTTGATGGGTGAAAAATTTGTTTCTCTCAAGGAAACAAAATTATCAATGGACAAACAAAAATGGTATCCGTATGACGCGGGGGAAGGGAATATGGGCTGTATATCGAGAAGTCGAGGTATGTGAGAGACGAAGGAAACCGTCCAGTTCAAGGTTTACGGGGCCCGGCCTGGTCCAAAGGATGGATGGTCCTTTTGTTGTGTTGTTTGCCTCTCCGTTACTCCACAAGTTTTGCTAGTCAACAGCTTGTTCTCTGAATCACAGCCACAGCGGAGAAATATTATGACCGATTATGACTGACCGGAGCCGGCGAGTCAGCAATGATCCTCCCGAGGCTTTTTGCTGTTCGAAGAAAGAAATAATCTGCTGAGGAGATCAAGACTTGTTTTGGACGGAGTCTAATGTAGGACCCGAACCCCGAATGCTTTATGATTATGATCGAAAACAATAATAATGACAAGTAAGAGGGAAAGTTGTTCAGGTGGTACGGAAAAGATCGACGACTTTGGCCGGGGTGTGATGAGTCGGATTCGTACGAGTACCACCCGTTCTCGTACTCGTATTTGCAATTATTTATTGTTTGATTGGGTGATCATTCGAAGCGACACCAAAAAAAAGAATGGAGGTTGGCGGTGATGAGCAAGGAGGAGGAGGACGAAGAGGAAGAAGAAGAGAAGGGCGAGGACACCAACTCAAAAGTCGCATGTAGGGACAATTCGAGTAAATGGTGCGGGATACGAAGCATTCGTCATCCGAGTCCGAGGATTCGTCGTATGTACGGAGTATCCTTTGAGTTGTTTTGGTTGGTCGATGGAGTCCTCGCGTCGATCGCATATTGCAACCGGAATAAGACATGAATCCGATGAGATTTTGTTTGGTACCTTGTCCACATGCGGACAAATGACCGTCTCTTTTTTTCAGATTACGCAGGGTGATACCGAATGTTTGACGAGGCAAAGTGTCTATCAATTTAATACGGAGTAAAGGGGGAGGGAGTGGGAATGTTTAGGTACCTTTGGTATGTACGGAGTATCAGTCGTCTGTGATTCCCAATCCCAATTTCTCTTTCTCTTTGTCAGACAGTTGACTCTACGTAGTACAATATTGGGTAGATGTTTGGTGTAGAGTACAATACCAAGCTCTTCTACTCCGTAAAGATTGTTGACTACCTAGGGGAGTTAGAGTTTATTCGGTACGAATACGACAAAATTCCTATCATACTCCCCCGTGTTATTTGTGCCTGGAGGGTTAAAGAAAAAAATCCTTTTCTTCTGCCACCAAAAGACATTTTGTTCACAACCCACTCGGTTATACAGTACGTATGCACATGTCGACCCGGATATTCCGAAGGCCACAGCCACCACCACCACCACCACCACCATCCATCATCCATCGGTCAGCAAGTGACAGCTTTTTAGTTACAATTCATACCCCTAAGGCATGGGCTGAGGGCTGAGAAGGGGGGCACGCGCGTTGGTTCATTCCAATCCAATCCAACCATCACACAAACGCACCTATTCGTACAATATGTTTCGCTTACGAAGTAACCCTTACTACGCCGCTGCGCTTGTCAGCAACCACTCGAAATCACAAGGGGTGAGGTAAGGTATGCAATGCGAATCCTTTCGGTAAACGGATAATTTCCCCCTCCACACAGCATCGAGAAACATCATCTCTCTTACTCAAATCCTTCCGACCCTCCACGGAGGAGTAGGAGGAGGAAGGAGGGAGACGGACAGATTATTGTCCTTCCATCTCGACAGGCGGAGGGGGAGGAACGTAACCTTGCAAAACATTCTATTCGTACTCGGGTACAAGTGCGTCAGAGTGGATTCGATCCTACCACAACAGCAGCCTTGGGAATCTCGAGCCGCGATGCTAATATCAGATACCTTTGTGCGTACAAAACGTGCGTGGAGGAAGCCTCGTGATGTTCTTTAAAACACTCAAAACACAACTCAAACTTCATTAGGCGGGCTCATTTGAGGAGACCTAGGGTATTCGTAACTGATGGAAGGTACAGTACAAGGAACCCATCATGATACATTCAGTACTCGACAACTGTCGAGCCACTACGATATAACACCGTTCACATTGTTTTGAATCTTCAACCTCACCCGGCAACGTTATTCTCTTCTTATCCCGAACCACAATGGACGTTACCATCCTCCATACTCCGTCAAAGACTCATTCATCTTTCACAATCGTCCCTACTACTGTCCATCCAAAGTCACGGCTTTATCCATGATCCCTTGACGACCATACTGTCCATTGCCCCGGCCGGAACCGTTCTGGCCTCTACCTCGTCCCCCTCGGAATCCCGATCTCGCCCCGAAGCTTCCACCACCACGTCCCTTCCCGCCCTCACCACCGCCGTTGTCTTTGGGTCGACTACTCCCTCCATAACGTCCTCCTCCTCCAACACCTCCTTTGGCAGCCCCTCTACCTCGTCCTCCAACCTTAAAGTCAATCTTCTTCAACGGTCGTTCGACCATGTCCAATCCTTTCAGGCCCACCTCCTGTCTCCTTTCGGGGCCGACCTTCCACGGCTGAAACAGCTCCTGAGGTTCCGTCAGCGCCCTCAACTCCTCCACCCAGGCCTTGCAATATTCCCCCCGTGGATCGTAATCGCAAGCCTGTTTGATCGGGTTAAACACTCGCGCTTCGCCTCGTGGGTCGTTCCCGACCCCGGCCACATACTGCCAATTGCCCCAGTTCGAGCTGACGTCGTAATCCGTGAGCATACACTCGTACCACTCGGCACCCAGTTTCCAGTTGATACCGAGGTGTTTGGCCAGGAAGCTCGCCACGTTCTGTCGCGCCCGGTTGCTCGTGTAGCCGGTGAGGAAGAGCTCACGCTGACTCGCGTCGATCAAACTCGTCCCCGTCGCGCCGCGAAGAAATCGATCAAACGTGTCCTGAAGCTCCAGGCCACCACTTTTCGTCCCTGGCGTCTTCCAGGGATACGTGGTGTCGTTGCGGAATCCTCCCACCCGGAACAGTCTCGGTCCGAATTTTCGTGTACACAACCTCATATAGTCACGCCAGAGCAGCTCGAACCGCACTGCCGCGGTGCCCTTGTTCTCACCCTTGCCGTATCCTTCGGTACCTTTGTACTGATCGTCCCGCCCATCTTCGAAATCCAACAGTTGAGCGTGCACTTGACGAGCCGTGATGCAACCCAGAGCCAGCCACGCGGATAATTTGGTTGAAAAGTCCGTCCCCAGCAGTCCGTTCCTCGTGTCCTTGTACTTTGTCATCGCTCCGGACCCGATGAGAGACTGGATGCGCTTCAGGCCTTCCGTACAGCCACCGTGGAAGGGATAAGCTGAGTTGACGTCGGCTGGAAATGAAGGCGGGTTCTTCTTCAAAGGAGGATCGTCCAGCACAGGCTTCATCAACGCAGACTGAAATCTCTCAAAATTGTCAGGTATCGTGAAAGGCGAAGGCTGTGCGGGTATATCTGAGGGCATGGGCGACATTGATGAAGGCCGGGGCAATGGCTTTCGTGGTGCATCCCTCAACGGCTCTACTGATTTTCGATAACTCGTGAAGACATCTGGGAGATCAGTCGGTTTCTCGAATGGGAGGTCTCGACTACACAAAGGTCAGTCAGTGAAGAATTCAGGGTCAGTCAACTGGTAAAGAGGTCCAATATAGGCCGATGGGTCAAGACGAACTCGTCAATGAAATATTTCTCGTCCAGCCACAACTTGAAATCCACGCCGGCGTCTTGGGCGGCCCTGCGAACGTCCCTTTCCTCCCTCTTCTCCTCCACCCCTTCCTCCTCGATCATCCAGACGGCCGAAACGATCGTCTCTTTTTGCGCCTGCTTGATCTGCTCGAGTAGGTCTCTGACGACTTGCCCCAAGATCCCCACTCGGATGTGTAGGCTGCTGCCCATCTTCTCGAGTTCCGACTTGAGCTCCCATACTGATTCGGCCAGGAACTTTGCGCGGTGTGGCCCACATCTCCAAAAGTTTCCCACCTCCGAACGTGCTTCCGGGTAGGGTGATTTGGTTTCTGAATCCGACAAAAGCCCAGACACCTCGACTTGTTGCGCGGCCAAAACGTACAGCGGCAAGACGTGCGTAAAAGGTTTCTGAGACTGTTGGGACAGCCTGTGGAGTTCGTGAAAGACGGGGTTATCGGCAAGACGCAAGTCGCGCCGTAGCAGATATACGACTACCCTTTGTGGTGTCATTTTCTTGGACAAGAGATTGGTGATAAAATCAAATATCCAGATACGCTCCTCCTCTGGCCGAGGACTCGATTCTCCCCCGGCTGATCATATATGTCTGCACGAAGGTGTCTCGCATACTTTGATGTGGGGAATATAGCCGCCTTGGACAGAGTGCGAAGCTTAGATCGTGAGCAATGTTACCACTCTTCGATGTGAAGCTGGATGTGTTCAGAGATGGTCGTCCCTGGATACTTTTAGAAGGTTGAAGGTGAAATAAAAAGCAGCACTGATTTAACAATAATAGGCTTGAAAATACTAGGGAAGTGAAGTGACAGGAGACAGCACGACGTCGGTAAATATGTTCGAGATTTGCTGGGTTGCCGCTCGACCAACTAGACACATCATGCGAAGGGACGGCAGACGTGGGATAACCAGGAGGGGACAAAGCAACCAGTTTCACCCAAGTCAAGTTTCAATGTTCAGGCAAGGGTAGGCTGCAGGAAAAATGCGGCGTGACGAATGACAATGGGTTGGGTAGCTAGTTAGACTTCCTGGCCCCCTATCAGACCTCTCGTTCGATGAGATGAACGGATCATGGACAAGGTAGTGTTGGGACGTGCATCCATGGGTCGGAGGGCGATGAATGAGATCATCCAGATTTCCGGAAATTATAATCGGAGTATCTACCTACAATAGGTACTCGTATGCATGGATGAGTGAGCGTGATACTTGCAACCAAAAGTAAAAGATGGGTCTTGGAAGTGTCAATCATGGAAAGTTCGGAAAGAAAGCCACGCACAGCAGGGCCAAAGGAAAAGGAGCCACGCATTGGATCTGATAGAGTCGATCGGCACGTTCGATCTGTGGATCTGCTGGATCTCGGACATGGGGTGGTGGATCGATCTAATGAGACATCGCCATCTCAGTGTCAGACGCTGTGGCTTGCTGCGAAACCGTCTTCTGCGTCATACAGCGCATGGCTACAGAACACGGATACGGACAGGGAGTAAGCGTTCTCGCAACAAGGGTCAAAAGAAGCCACATGTCGTGGTGTATTATTACCCAACGTACAGGTCGAGTACTCGCATGGTGGGCTGTGTGTGAGCTGACTATTGACTGATGTCTGTGTACGAACACAAGAGTACCAACGTGAAATGGAACAAAACAAAAAAGAGCTTGTGCGACAATGATAGAGTATTGGGGGAGAGAAAGAGAGAGAGAGAGAGAGAGAGAGAGAGAGAGAGAGAGAGAGAGAGAGAGAGAGAGAGACAGAGGGATGTCGTCATGTGTACTCCGTAAACGTCTTATATGATGATTGAAATAACCAAATAAAAAGAGTATTCAAGAGAAGCGAATATATCTTCATCCACGCCTATTAGAGGAGCTTGATCACCATCAAGAAAATTCCTCCGCAAGATGAGACTTCGGATAAACGTGGTGCCGGCTCCGACATTTCCAATGGCAAAAGGTGCGAATCCACCTTCCAGAAAGAAAACCAAAAAAAGAGATCGGCAAGGGGGCCATCAATCGATCTCGCGGCGCCTTCCGACGCGAGGCTGCAAGCCATTGCAAGCCACCGCGCATGGCCTACAGGGATCCAGAATGTCGGCTTTTTTACAGGCTCATCAGTTTACCTTACCTTAGTTGCATTTGATGCAGTCTGCCCATCGGCACCGAGTTTGAAGACAGGACATGTATTCACGCCATGCCGGCATACTTGCGTTGGGTAATTGTAATCTTAGGTTCCTTCTGAACAAGCTCACTATACACAAACAAAAGCAAACGTGGCACAAGACAACAACATTTGTGATACTTCATACTGAAAACTATAAATCTTTTTCCTTCATTAGATCCTGTTTACTGTCCCAAAGGATTCCTATATCCCCGGACTCGGCCACTGAGCTTGCCGCTGTTCATCCAAGGGGGCCCCCTGCTACAAGGGTCACCAAATGCCATCCATAAAACTGCTGGGTATAAAGCGTCGTCTATGCTCGACTCGGGGAAAAACAGAAAATGAATATCCATCAATACTCCCAAAGGTCGCTAGAGTTCGCCATCCATCAAGTCGTCACAAAACATAATGAAATAATCCACTACCAGCCAACGAGCTTCTGAAAAGCTCAGTCCCATGCTAATAATATACACTCACCCAGTGGGGAAACACTTGATGGATATCAGAGGTGCTGTGTTGCCCGGGATATTACGCTGCTGTTGCCGCCGTCGGGCTATCGTTCACACCGTCGCTACCGGATTCTGATTTCGGTCCATCGTCCTTACTTTCCGCTTCGGCCGAAGAACCACTGCCACAGCCTTTGACAAGAATATGTCTCTGTTGTTCACAATCAGTATCTGAGTCGGGTCATACTTGACAGAATCAACTTACCTTGAGTGCGTCTTTACGAGAGAAGCTCTTGTCGCAATATTTACAAGGGAAAGGCTTCACAGCGAGGTGAATTCGCTTGTGACGCTTCAAGTCATGATTGCGATTGAAGCTCTGGGGACACTGGTCACATTTGAACGGTCTGTCGTTTGCCGGGCTCTGTTGCGGCGTATTTGTCCTCGGTTGTCCATACATCCCTTGTGGGTTTGCGGCATAACCACTGTTGAAGGCAAGAGGCAACATGTTTGCTTGCATGCTTCCCACCATGCTCATGTGCGTGCCTGGACTGTGGATATTGGACATAATCGGTCCTGGCATCGCCGGTAGAGAATATGACGGGGGAGGAGGCCTCATGAACGAAGGCTGTGAGTGGGAAGGAAGACTTCCTTGTTGGAGCGTGGGAGAAATCCTTGGAGCCTGGGAAACGCCGGTAGGATGGGAATATACATATGAGGGTTGGTGTTGGCCCGCAGTCGTCATGCTACCGAAGAGTGCCGGCTTGTTATCGTTGGGTGTTATTGGCGAATGTTGACTAGGAGGTCGTTGCATTGACGGCATGAGGTGATGAGCGTTCGCAGGATGGGAGGCGCTGCCTGGGGAGGAGAGAGGGAGGTGGGCGCCGTAAGGAGGGTTCAGATCGTAAGGCGGTGGAGGGAGCGCTGACCCTTCTGCAGCAGCCGGCGAGTGCGTTCCCGACCGCAGCGACTGACCTGGTATGGGAGAAAACATTGATCGGGGTGGGAGAAGAGGACCGTTGGCCTGCCACGGCTGCGGAGTGTATCCAGTATGATATGCATTGGGAGTGGTCCCTGTTCCGCCGCCAAAGAAACTAGGGGCGTACGGTAGGACAGGAGCGGCGCCGCTGTTAGGGGTTGTCCCTGTCGGAATGGCAGATGAGCTTGCGCTCTCCGACGCCGAGTTGGACGGTGGCGTCAGGAGCTGTCCTACACTCACAGGCGTAGGGCCCGCATGTGATGTGTTGATTCCTGGAATCGGAGGGAATTTCTGAAGTGGCCCCGGTGCGAATGAGATTGGAGGCGGTGGCAGCTCAAATGCTGGAAGATTAGACGCAGCTTGTCGGCGTTGTGTGAGACTGGAGGTTGCGGTGTTCAGCGCATCGAGCGTTGTCCCCATTGGAAGGGGGATCGCGACGGAAGCCAGTCTGACTGATGTCGACGGTGCAGTGCGAGATCGCTCAAAGGGTTTAGAAAGAGCTTGTATTCGGCCGAAGCTGCTGTTTTGTCGCTGGAACTCTCAGCGACGTGTGTTATAAGAGACTCTTGCGGGTATTATCGCAGAGGGGTTTGGTTTAGCTCGAGGAGGTGATGACTTGAGGGATGTGCCAGGTTCTCTTATGCCGAAGAATGTATCAGCGTGAGATACCTGTCTCGGGTGCGATATGTAGCGCAAACAGGCGACGCAGTTTTCTTCCAGCGACGAGCAGAGTGTGTTCGGTCCAGAGACAAGTGTCGCGAAACGCGATATGCACACAGGCCTTGACAAGAAGGTGTTTGCGGTGGATCGATGGTGGGCGATGATCTGTATTTTTGGCTGTCGGTTGGCTTTTTCGCGGCGTTATGGCTTGTTCTCAGTGGACGTGGGGCGCCTTCGGAGGACAAGCAGGGTAAGAGATCGACAGTGACTTGAGATTCGGCAGCTAGCGACCGGACTCGCAGAGATTGGAGTGAGATCAGCCGCTCAGGTGGGTGGGTGATACTTCTTGAGGCCGGGCACGAGGCACTGGCAACGATGAAGACCTTTTTCTTTGTGAAGGTGAGGTTGACGACCAGGCTGAGGGAAAGAGCAAATCCAGGACGATTTCAAAGATTTGGAAGAGATGCGATCCTTTTTGTCGGGGCAGCACATGGCGTTCTTAGCGGGCAGCTGGCCGCCGGCTGGCTGGATGGGCCTGTCTTTTGCGTCGCCTAAAAAGAGGAGAGCTTGTCAAAAACGGATGGCGGAGACAGGAGGTGCTAGGATGTGATAGGCATGGCGGCAAGGTGAGAGGCTCATTGGCCTGGGTGGACCACGATTAGGAATGCGCGAGGAACATTGGGAAAAGCGATAGTGTGGTGTGGGCGTGTGCGTCGAGGGGAGAAACTGACGAGGGAGCAAAGTAGGAGGGAGAAAAGGCAGGGGTTGCCCTTGTCCGTGCTTTTTCGTCTCGCGCTGCTGGTGTTGTTCCCGGGACATGGGATGGGGCCTAGTACGAGTTGGAAAAAAAGTGGTCTCAGTTGCTCGTCGAACAAAAACAGTCTGGACCGAGCGCGCTGCAATTGCAAAAACTCTGGTCTCAAAAAGGGATCGCGAGAAATTGGATTGCTTGAAGCACCGCTATGCTCAAAGTGGCCTGGGCCCGTGGGTGACGAGAATGATGAAAGTCATGAGAGGTGGAGCGGACGAGAGGATGTGGTGTCTAGTGAGAAAACCAGTCACCCACCCGACCAGAATGGAGGCTCCCGGTAAGAAGTCAAAGGAGGGGGGAGAGACAGCAGACTAGACTCCATCGTAGACGAGAGGAGTGGATGCTTTTGGGTATTTGTGCTACGGTACATGCCTTAGTCGGGACCTACTACACGAATACAGCTATCTCGACCCTAGGTAAAGGTAGGTAAAGAACTGGTACTGGTACCCCATAGGCGAGTGGCGGGCGGCGATGGTGACAAGTGACGGGGGTGGTGATGGCGACGACGAGACGGAACTCAGGTGGTACAAGATGTTCGCTAGGCAGACAATAAGTCGCCGAACACACTTGACAACGATGAAGACGTGCTAATGATAGTACACGGGACATGGTTGTCGCGGAACTCGTCTCCTTGAGCAAAAACCAGAAGAAAAAATTACAAGTCTCTGAATGTGTAAATTGAAGGCGTAGAATCACAACCATCATAGCCATCAAAATCATAATATTGACATTTGAATACGAGTACTATTGTAGATAGGTACCTTAATGTGCGAACTGCGTACGAGTATTTCCCGTCAAAATCGCAGGCAAAGTGTGCTGGGCGCAGGCGTGCATTGATCTGCCTTCTCCCCTACCACTGTCTTTTCCACGGTCCAGGCTTTCGAAATGCCTTTTGACAATCCCATACGCAAGGAACAAGACAATTGTCTTTCTGTTGCTGCTGCTGCTGCTCGATATTGATCTTTGACTTTGTCCAATCTCCCCTTTTCATCGATATCGTACACACCACAATGCCATGTTTCCTGTCTGCAACCCATGGATCCTGCAGTGGTCCGTCAGCATCGACCCAAGCACCCTCCCCGGCCCTGGTCAGTCTCGTGTTCCTGGCCGGTGTTCAATTTCATCATCCCTGGACTATCCCGTACATGGCTTGAGAATGTCAATGAGGTATAGTGAGCTGCAGATACAAAAAGCACCCCAAGTGGAGCTCACAACCATGCCTGCAGACACCAAGATGATTGATGTCTCTAACTACGCGAGAGGCCCGTTCTTTCTCCTCACCTCGTACCGAACCTCCTCCTATCTACAGTACCACGTCTATCAACCACAGAGCGTTCCTAGCTAGAATCTGGGCCTCGGACCATGAACTTTCCTCTGAAAGAACGACCAAAACAAGCCCTCAAGAAAGGGATATTTCGTGTGATTCGATACCAGTGACATCTCACTCAAGAGGATCATCGGCTAGCGAAGCCCCCGGGATTCCCCTCGAAAGGCCGTGCTCATGCTCCGTATTAACGGCCAGAGCTGTCACTTCGTGCCACGATCCGAAGTTGTCTGTGTACTCTGGTCGATCTGTCTGACACCTATTCGTCTGTATCCGTGCTCTGTCTTCTTGCTAGACGGGCTATGCTATTCGATGGACTACGCTAGGCAACCCCCTTGGATCATTCTTGTAAGAACACACCAAGGGAGGGAGCATGGCCCGGAAAAAATACTTCATTGATGGAGGTCGCCAGCGTCGCCACAAATTACTCTCGAAGCAGGCGCGCTATCGACCTCACGTACGGTTGACCCCGTTCTCGGCGTGCTGGCTTGTTCCTACAAGGCAGCTCATTAGTCCCGAGACATGGTGTCACGAGAAAAAGCGGGAACACCCTCTAGCTTCGCCAAAATGTGCACAGACCCAGAAGTCGCTGCATCCTCTTCTCACACTTTTGGAGCATCTTGCGCCCAAACTGTTTACTTGTTTTGTCCTGGGCGGCCTTTCCAGCCCCCACCGTCTGCGAACCCCCTGTTTAATCATTGACGCCAGTCCTCCCTGGTCACTTTTTCATTCGACCGCAGCGATACTAGCCAGCTGAGTGATGGTGGTGGGTCAAGCCAATCTCCAGAGCCATGTGGCTGCCACCACCATTTTCCCTGACGCCCCCTCAGATGTGTCCGATCACGATGACCTTATCCGCCCTATCCTGCTGATTTTCACTTGCTCCCGGCTGCTTTCCACCGCTGGTTGAACAAGGATTCAAGAACGACCTCACTCTGAACCAGACTCCACTTGACTGGTGTCCTGCTACTTCTGGATATTCAGCCAGCCTCGGGCTTGCAGAGACCGCCACCCTTTGACCAGATCGATCTGCTCAAGAACGTCCATGCCGGCCACTCGCGAGCATGGATGAACTGGTCTCAGATACAATACACCGTCAAGGACACTTTTCGAAGAAATTGCTGTAGATGTGTACTCACTGAAAAACATCAATGCTTGCTAGCTGTCGCCGTCACGAGGAACAATTGTCTAACCGGAGTGCTGACCAGACCCGGAGGCTACGTCCCGTACTGTATCATCAGTGGACGATCTACCCCGTAAGAGACCTGTTTTGGGCAGGCGTCTGGAGACTTTGCTGTTCCAACTACATTGGGTGTGTCTCGTGGCCGGCCAACCCATGCGATTTGCTGCGCGAGGGCACAGTCTTTCTGTAAGCACTTTACGTCAAAATGCTTACCAGGTGCAATTTCAACCCCAGTCTCGTCACGCGGAAGCTTGAGGGGTCCCAAAATGCACCGATCGAATGACAGCTTTTGGAAGCCAATGGCAACTCCCCGTAACCGAACCGCCTTCCCGGTTCCAGTATGCCCAAGATGCCCCTGCAGATCGCGTCTGCGGCTGGTTGATATTGACGTCCACTTACCGGGGTCGGTCACAAGTGAACGGTCCAGGCGTACACCCTCCAGCACTGTTATACTCATCCTTCTCCGTAGTCCGGCGACCCATACGGAGTACATGATTGTCTATCAAACCGTGCGTGGTTTTTTTGAAAGCCCGTTATTGCACCGTTGGACCTGCATCAACTTTACTAGAGTGGATAGTGTTTGCACCAGGTAAAGTCCGCATGTATTGCTATTCCGGAAATTACAGCTGTCGGCCTTGCCGATACGCCTCGAGACATGAAAAAGTAACAGCATCAATGTCCCCATCAACTCAACCTTACCATATTGTCACCAATGGTGTAACATGTCCATGCTTATCACGCAGCCTTGGTCTTGTTGGAAGGGATTTCCAGCCTCCGATGCTCTCCGAGTCTTGGTCGAGCCTTGACTCGACGACTATGTACCTAGATCGATTAATTCCGGTCAGCTTGTTCCTGGACTTTGGGTATTCGGTTTACATGCAATTTCGCGCCTCTGTCTTTACAGTAGATCTCCAAAAGATCATCAACGATCTCAATCAATATTGTTTCGGACAGCCGCATGCAACATGCCTTCATGAACAGTACAGACCCCCGGAGGGTTGAAGACACTCAGGGGGCTTGTTACACATTGGATCAAAGCTTCTCGCCAGCCTAAACAGGCGGCCCAGAGTCCCGGTAGCCCTGGGGCTGATCAAAGAATCCAGTGGCTTGGACCCTGAGGCGTAAGTTGGTAATACAGTAATCATTCGTAAGTTTCACAGACACTGTACAGGGTATGGAAACTTTTGGGAAAAGTACAGGGCCCTCAGGCCACTGGAATCTGTACATTATTGGGTTGCCACATCGACGCGAATTTAGATGGCTTGCAGCAATGCCACACATCAACTCAAACCTTGCTAGAACCTTGATCATGGACGTTCGAGGGCCTGGAATGTCCCTTTTCTTCACAGCAGTGCGCAAGGGCTGGCTGAAAAGGCCACGCGTGCTCCTGGCTCATCGTACTTCTCAAATCTGGATGCCTCCTTCCCTGACTACCCCTTGATGAGAATTTCGAACTTGAAAAACGCTTGTTGCAGCGTTCGACATGGAGCGGCAATTGCCCGAGTGAAACGACGTGATTAAAATGCCAATAGCAAACCCAGTGCAGTGACCCTCAGCCTTACGACACTTCTTCTTCGCGAGGCGTCGTGCCATCAGAGATGCGGTTCTGCCACTTCGGTCCCTGCAGTTTCCCTGCAGGGATTCTTGCAGCCCTGCCCAGCCAAATGGCTCCAAAGCTCTGGTCTGAGGTCTCTTCTACTCGGCACGAGGGTGATTCTGAGCGCGTTCTTCGGACTTCTCATGTCTTGGTTGGCAAGGACATCTCATACTAGGAGATGACACAGATGCTGACTGCGACTCCGAGAGTGCCTTCACGGTTGAATGCTAACAAACAGTCACGGGCGTCCTCATAGCCTTGGGTCATGTGTTGGGCATCATGACCTTGACTTTTTCTTGACATGCTCTCGAAGCGTTTCTTTGATCACAGGCGTAAAGGTGCTTCTAATAGGTTGCAAAGCCTTTTGTGAGAAATGGCCTCTCCCTGGCGATCCCGACAGCACTGTAGATAACCCGATGCTCGGGGGAAAAGCTACACTAACCCCTTCTTCTGGTACTGATTTCTCTAGTCTTCCTTCCAGATATAACAGAGCTGAGCTCGGTGTCCGTACCGATAGTCTCTGCCGGGTGAGGGCAGTGCCGTTTTAACCAGTGGAAGATCCGAGGAGTCTCGCAGGACCTCATCCAGGGCGCGGACACCTCCTGCGCTGACATCGAGCACAAAGTCGATTCGCTTCACGTGCTTCGGCAGGAAGGACACTATTTCCCTGACGGGGACGAACCCCCGCCATGCATAATCACTATCGACAATGCCTTTCAGTTCCTGCAACGCTCGATGATATTCCCGCTCCGGCAGATCGAACGAGAAGTGACGATCGAAGACATACAGGTCGAGGACGAGCTTTGGTCGGGACAATGTGTCATTGCCGAAAGAGGCAACATACTCCTTCAGGTGTGGAATGGCTTGCCACAACAGGTGCGTCGAGGGCTGGACGATCAGAAGCTCCAGATCGGCGCATTTGTGATTTATAATGTCCCAGACCCTCCTCGATCCCTCGCCAACTAGCCAGCAGTTATTATGGACTGTGAGTGTCCGGATCGATGCCAGAGCGATGTCACCCAGATGGCAGAAGGTGGTCAGGTCAGCGGGCAGCTGAAAGTTATTTGCACTATATGCGAAACGAAGGGCGTCGGTTCCAACGGCCCTGTTCACTCTAAAGATGGCAGTCTGGAAAATCGGCTCGGCGAGGTCATTCTTGTCCTGTAGCTGCAAGGGCGCGAGGCTGCCTGGTCCAAGAGGAATGGGCCACGCCCGATGACAAAATAGATGCTTGTATATCTGATGGCGAACTTCGAGCGGTAGATCAAGCAGACCGATCGATCCGTGAGCTGGTCCTGATGACTCTGGATGATCCGAGGTCATGATGGACTCGTTTCACCGCAGGTGGCCTGACATGCCTTTAGGGCCTTGAATGTGTGTGTGGCCTAGAAATGCTGGGAGTATATATATATATTTGCCGCAAGGTTGAGGCGAGTCGAGTCGAGTCTCGAGAAACAAACAAACGTGCTTACTGGAAAGGAAAAGAAAACACTGGTGACCCAGGCAAATATATAGATATAATTTGGTAGGACGTATATAACCGGCTTCGGAAATAAATGATCAACAGTGGTGCCGTGTCATCTGCACCGCCGGAAAAGCTGAAAAAGCTGTCCAGATGCCTTCTTCGGTGAGTGACATTTGGGAAAAAGAACAATGCAGGAGCGTGGATTGTCTGCGAATGACAAAGAGGAGAAGAAACGAGTGATGTGCTCAACTCCTCTGTGGATAAAAATCGCAGCTGGTGGGCGAGTTGAGTCAGTCCGAGAGGGCCGTTCTTACCCCTAAAGCTCCATATCACGTGAGAACGGGCCAACGATTTGCGGAGGGCTGCGGATGACGTCGTGTGCGTGTTCAGAGCTTCCTCGACTCTCTCTCTCGTGCGAGTGTCGAGTAAACCCCGTACGAATAACCTAAAGAGCTTTCGAATCTCGACCTGAAACGTCTTTCAACCGTCCCTATATATCATCGCTCTCTCTTTTGAAGCCTCACTGCCTCACACCTTTTTGTTGTTGTTGGTTTCTTCTGTATGTGGCAACCGAAGCCTAGTAAAGGCTGGGTATCCAACATGTTTCGAATGGTAAGTTTTTGTCGTTTGAAGTTTCCTGGGGACAGAGGGGACGAGGGTTGTCACGAGACACACAGAGAGAGAGACACACACACACACACACACACACACACACACATCTTGCCTCCGAGTGAAAGGGAACACGCATCACTGACTCGTTCAAAATGTTAGTCCAAAACCCTCGACGTCATCACCCTCTTCCACAAACCCTCCATCTCGGCGTCGGTCCGGGTCCAAAACCTCCTCAAGCAGGCGTCGGCCCAGGCGGAGCAGACGGCCACCGAAGACCAGGCCGCCGATCACACGGCCCAAAACGAGACGGTGACCAGGGATCCCTTTGAACTGGAGGTCACCGAGGCCGCACCCACGCCGGACCAGCTGAAGAGCATCTTCGAGTACCTGGGCGGTGGGGGTGTCGCCGGGGAGCTCGTCAAGGGGGCGGCGAGCCAGAGCGACGCCCTCAGGAAGGTCAACGAGGATGCCAACGCCTTCACCAGACCCGTCGTCGTGGATTGGGGCAGGGGAAAGGCCGTAGTCGGGGACAAGAAGAGTGAGATTCTGAAACTGTTGAAGGCGGACGGGAAGTAAGGAGGACAGGACACGTTGACATACCCTTACGAGTACTCATGGCTCGCATGAACGCACATACATACAGGGCGAGTGAGTACGTGAGCGAGCGAGCGGTTGATGGATGACAGTGTGCAATGGAATGAACGGAACCTTCTGCATCCAGGACAAAGCCCATTCGAGATGCTGAACGTGGTCACATGTTTTCAAAGTTCATGGTGCACAAGGGACGATATTAAAATCCGTTACGACGGTGTTGACATCGAATCTCGACTTCTTAAGTTGCCATGCCACACTTCTCAAGACCAAAACTACGTAGGATTGTTCCTATGCCCCGGTTTCTTGCCTTGGTCAAATCCATACCACTTTCTGAGCATGGTGTGCGTCGAGTCTTTTTCTAGTTAGAGGATAACATTGATCGCTGATTCCCATGATGAAACATTGCGACCTCTCACATGCAGTTCTTGCCGATGATATCACCAGCGTTCCTATCGACCCAGATCTACCACACATGAACAGCAAATTCCACGTCCAATACTCTATAGTCTGCATGTCGCCTTTTGCATCGAGGCGAGTATCCCAGGGTGTCAATTGGACCAACGAATTCAGGCTTGTATCGGGAACGACTGAGCGACAAGGTAAAATATCAACCACCAACTCATAATCGCGGGAGAGAGAATAGAGACCCATGAATGATGTCTACTTTCTCGTCTGTCGACCCTGAACGAACACCAAAATGACGAGCCAAGTGAGGCGGAGTAGAAACTCAAGCACAGGTAAATTGTTCCACCTTGTCTTTGTCCCTCGATGTCCAAGGGGCCAAGATCTTGAAAGGGCAATTTTACAAGATCTCGGGAAGCAGCAGCAGGTGTTTCCCACTGGCTTGCCATGTCTTGAGCGGTCGTTGTGAAACAATGCGAGGGGAGGTCTGGTACGGCACAAGGGGTTCAGAATCAGGAGGTAGATTGACTTGCATCATCAGCGTGCTTCACACACGTAAAGAGACGTCTTGACTGTCTCCCCCTACATCAAGCCAAGTGTCTTGAGAAGGCCTTGAATTTCCAAGTGACAGTGGAGTTGCTGACGCGGAGCTCTATCTTGGTTGCACAGAGTACCGCCTGGGCGCAAGGCTGGGCATTGTAAGAGGAGGCCCTGTGCAGTCACGCAAGAGAAGTTGTCTTAGTATTGTTTCATGAGAATGGGTGTATGGTGCTCATAACTCGGCGGTAGACGAAGTGTCAGTTCTTTGGTGACGCAGAGAGGCAACTTGAGGTGTCAAGGTAAGGTGTTGGAAGTAAAGAAAATGAAGAGATGGTAGTCGAGTATTTACGAAGGTCAACTACCTACCCAGGAATGGAGAACTTACGGGTGGCAGCCAAGGGCAGTGCCGCCTATTTAGTACCCGTTAGTGCGTACGCCCAGGAACAAGATACCTTGCGTACCTGCGTGAAGACAGCCTCGCAACGACGCGCCTACAGGGTGCCGTACAGTGCTTAGCAGGCACTGCGTCACCGCCCAAGAATGCCTCCTTCGCCTCACCCAACCAAGGGCTTCGCGCGCTCCTTGTCTCCCGCCCAGATCCGTTGCACAGATGCCAGATAAAAGTACGTTTACCCTGGTCCATGCCCAGCGACATTCCACCCTGAGGTCGTTATTAGTTTACTCCATACATCAAAAAAAGCAGAAAGCCCCCCAACTTGAGTCGTCGGCTGGAGACTCTTTGTTTGCCCTCTTTCACTCTCTTCAGGACCTTTCACTCCTTGTGACTCTAGATCTTGCCTTTCAGATCACACTCGTTTCAAAAATAACGAAATCTTTCGTTCTACGTGGATTCGTCAGTCGCTACCTATCCTCAACGCCACCACTTCAGATCTCAACCGTTGAATCTCCCCCACAGTCCGGGATCTTCGCATACCCTAGGCGATCGCCCCCACGACCCATCAAAAAAGCCCTCGTGAGCCTAAGCGAACTGGCTGTTAACAACGACATCAACGGCCGAAGATCGTGTCTTGCCGGTTGGAAGTCGGAGAAGGGGCTGCAATAGACACAAAGGAAGAACCCAGAGCACCAGCGCCTGGTCAACGTTCAGTCGAAAGAGTCAAGAATTCGCACTGTCCCAGTCAAACCACAATGAAGCCATTCAGGCGAAGATCCACCGGATCGTCCCTCATGTTAGCCCTCCTGCTATGCATCCAACAATCTCAAGCAATTACCCTCGACCTCCAAAACACAGATTCGATAAAATCCGCGGCCAAGATCGTAGCCAACGATATGGTCTCATACTACACCGGCTACCGGCCAGGAGACGTGCCTGGCAATCTACCAGCACCGTACTACTGGTGGGAAGCGGGAGCCATGTTTGGAGCGCTCATCGACTACTGGTACTTCACCGGGGACGATTCCTACAACGCCATAACCACCCAGGCAATGCTTCATCAGGTCGGTCCGGACAAGGACTTCATGCCTCCCAACCAAACCAAAACCGAAGGAAACGATGACCAGTCGTTCTGGGGAATGGCTGCTCTTTCCGCCGCAGAAAACAACTTCCCCAATCCTCCCCAAGACGAACCTCAATGGCTGGCGTTGGCTCAGGCAGTGTTCAATACCCAAGCGGCTCGGTGGGACACAACATCCTGCGCTGGCGGTTTGAAGTGGCAGATTTTCTCCTTCAACGGTGGATACAATTACAAGAATACCATCTCGAACGGCTGTTTCTTCAACATGGGTTCTCGCTTGGCCGTGTATACCAAGAACCAGACCTATGCCGATTGGGCTGACAGGATGTGGGACTGGTGCAGTGCGATCGGTCTTCGGGATGACCAGTATTTCTTCTATGACGGCAGTGACGATCTGCTCAATTGCACCAAACTTGATCATCTGCAGTGGACGTACAATGCGGGCACGTTCCTGGTCGGCGCTGCGAACATGTACAATTATGTGAGTGAGCCACGGTTCGTGAGGTAAAGACACTGCTAACCCCTTTTCCAGACCAATGGCAGTCCGGTTTGGGAGAGCCGCCTGAACGGTATCATCAGCGGCATCAACAAGATCTTTCTCAAAAACAATATCATCTACGAACAAGCTTGCGAACCTGTGGGGACCTGTAATATCGATCAACGCTCGTTCAAAGCTTACCTCGCGAGATGGATTGCCGCCGCTATAGTCAGAGCACCCTTTACCTACGATCGACTGAAACCCATACTGGAAACATCGGCACAGGCCGCGGCGGCATCATGCACCGGAGGGGTCAATGGCACCTCTTGTGGACTGCGGTGGACCACCGGTTCGTTTGACGGGAGCACTGGTGTTGGGGAACAAATGTCAGCTTTGGAGGTCATACAGTCGAACCTGATAACCGTGTCTGCCGGTCCAGTCACGGAAGGGTCAGGAGGTACCAGCAAGGGCAATCCTAGCGCCGGTACAACAAGCGATATTGGTCCTGGAGACCTCCATGCGCAGCCTGTAACAACGGCAGATAGGGTTGGGGCCGCCATCTTGACGGTTTTGATTTGCTTGGTCGTGATGGGAGGCGCTTGGTGGATAATGGTCTGAACTTATCGCAGCACTTTGCATTCATGGCGTTGAATACAACATGGCAACCATTTGGAAGAGAGCGGCATTACAACGGTGTTTCTTAGTTTCTGGCTTGAGTTGAAGTCACTCGCGAGAAACCGCCTTGACGAAGAATCGAGAGTGACGTTCCTGAACTCCTATGAGATGCCCTGATGTCCCGGGGCAATACAACGGGGAGTTTATGTGTTAGAATAGCTTGAAAAGCCGAGAGTAGAAAGACTCGAGCGACTGCCATGGCCGGAAGATGACATTGCCGTGATACCCTGGAATAGAATCCATATGATTTTGTTGTACACATACATCTTTGCCTATAAGAATTATGATTTCCTCATCAATCGTTCATAGATTTCTGATAACGCCTGTTTGGAGATGGGTAAGATGTCGAAGGACTTGAGGTCGTAAGAGGCGATGCTATATTCGTCGATTGAGTATGCTAGAATCCCCAAATGAACGGATCCTCCGCATCGGATGAAGGCTGTTGGCGTGTTCATGACAAACATTCCGAACCACCTCTTGAAGGTCGGTTGGGGGGAAGAAAGATCACAGGTCCGAGATGAAGGTAACCTGTACTCCATAGCCTTGCCGCCTGATTGTCTTCTTTTGCATCAAGCTCGCGGAGAGTGCGATCGTGGATGCCGGCATTCAGATCGAACAACAAAAAAGCCTAGGTAGCGTGCCGAGAGAATGATTCGTCCCCCCCTTGAATGTGGCTAGTACTGTCATCTTCCCTGCGCCTGGGCGGCTCTCATCTCCTCCCTCATCTTTTGTTGCAGCGCCTTTTCCTGCGTCTCTTTGAGTTGTAATTCCTCCCTCGCCTTGGCCTGCGCCTCGGCGGCGGCCGTCCAGATGGGTTTGTCGGACTTGCTGTACTCCTTGAGCTGGCCGAGGAAGACCTCGTAGTCCTTCGTCCGCTGGTCACGGAGCTCGAGGTTGCGCTTCTGTAGGTCGGGGCTGAACCGTTTGAAGACTTCGCCTTCGGATGGGGTGACACTGTCGGGTATAAAAGGTCAGAATGGGGACGCGACGGGGGGGGAGGGCTTTTTTGGGTGTCGTCGTCTTTTGGACTTTTGGAACTTTTCTTTTGGCCAGACTTACTAGTACATCAGGGCCGGACCACCGATGCAGCATGTTAGAAAGCTGGGGTGTAGGAAGTCAGCTTGAGCTCTGGGTTGTGACGATCTCGTAATGGTACAGTATGATATGGCAATGCAGAGTGGGATACGAGGAAGGTGCTACATACACTGCTGCCATTTTGGCGTACATGCCGCCTCGAGAGGCCATGATGAGGAGTGTGGGTGAAGTCGTCTGCGTGTGTGGCGCGTCGATAGTTCTAATCTGCTCACAAACTGGATTGAATGGCGTTCTGCTGGGTGGGCGACACAGCTCACGAAGGCAAGGGCGCGATGGATGGATTGTCGTTACATGTCGAAGGAGATCTGGGGATCGATCGACTTTCAATGATGCATGGACATTTCTTTTGGAGTAGCGCTTGAGCCACGTGACGTCCCGTACTCTTCAGCGCTTTAATTAACATAGTTACGGGGTACTTTATATATTTAGTTAGGAGCCCTTTAGTCTCGCCCGACTTTGCACGAGTAGAAACTATAGTTTCTAAACTCAGTGCTTGAATAATACAGTGAGAGTAGTTTATCGAAGAGCCTCATTCTCTGGGCGGTATGAACGGACTGAGACTGTACAACTGAGTCCGTAACAGAACCCTGTGTCCGTTAAGCTTGCGAGAAACTCTCGTGTTGATAGAGAACATGTACTAATAGAATATGCCAGGTTTCTCGTAGCCCTGCCTTTCGACACTGCTAAGATCTACTTACATCGCCTATTTCCCAAGCAAGGCTGAGCCCCACGGGGTGTGCCAGACAAAGCCGGACCTGGGCGACAGTTGATTGGTTACAGCCCGTACCGAACTTACCGCGGAAAGCCCGAGTCTGCTGGCAAGTAGTTTTACATTTCTAGTTCGATATCGGGCAGAGATGATGAGAAGGAGGTACCAGAGATCGACCTTTGGAAATTCAGCCAGGACTTTTAGACCCAGGCAGGGCGGCAGGCTCCAGCCTCTTATGGCCACTAGAGGATCAGAATCTCTGCGACCGAACTGCTTCAAGCTTCAAGAGACGTGTGGGAGATGCTAGCCCAATTTCGAGTCACCAAGGATAACCGTGGACTTGCTCTCGTGATCTAAGCTCGCACCGTGACAACAGCACCTAGCGAGATAGTCACCGACTTGGCTCCGTTGACCGGATAGCCCTGAGATATACTGAGTGTCTCAAGCAGTGTAACCCCCATCAGCAGAATAGACCGATCCTGTAGTAAAGGCTGAAGAGTCGGAGAGAAGGAAGGCAATGGCTTCCGCCATTTCTTCCGGTGTCCCCATTCGTCTTTGAATCTGTCTTCCAAGCAAGCTGTCCGTATCAATGTCCTTGTCGACCGCCGCAGTCATAGGCGTTGCGATGACCCCAGGAGCAATTGCGTTTATCCGGATTTTTGGATTTTCTCTCGCAGTACACCTGGTCAGGCCAACAACAGCGTGCTTGCTAGCAGTATAAGATGCCCCTTGCGCAATGCCCACCAGTCCAGCGACACTGGCGGCATTCACCTAGCTCCAGTGAGAAGGATGTCCCCAACACATCGGCCCTCGGAAAACAGAAACTTACAATACTGCCGCCGTCTGAGATTCGTGGGATCTGTGCTCTGAGGCAATTGTAAACGCCTTTGGCGTTCACTCCAACCACGAGATCCCACAGATCATCCGCCTCATCTTGGACAAGACCACCGATTCCGGAGACGCCAGCCAGGTTGGCTGCTCCATCGAGACGTCCGAACCGTTCAATGGTGGCATCGATCCATCTCGTGACGGCTTTGGAATTTCGCACATCGAGAAGGGTTGTGGCAGCGGATGGCAGAGAGGCCTTTGCCAGGCTTAAATTTCTTTCATCGATATCGCTTATCGCTACTGATGCTCCTCTGGCTATCAAAAGCTTTGCCGTGGCAAGACCAATGCCAGAGGCTCCGCCAGTGATTGCGATCTGTATCAGGAACTCATGTTAGCAGGAGCTAGAAAGCATGAAAAGTTAAGCAGTACGAACAACTTTATTACCCAACGATGACATATTTATGACGGCGAGTTTATAAGAAGATCAATGAAACGGCCGAAGAGAAGGCTCAGACACGAGAGTGCTATATATTTGACTGTTGAGCACCAAACATCGCTAGAGATTCTTCATGTGCTTTGTATAGTATAGGTAGCAGCGTAGGAGATTGATCAATGAACTTTTATCAACCAAGGCTTTCGGAAGCGGAAAAGGTACTCGGCATCATTAGATCGCGTTCGCAATGGAACCCGACCAGCAGTCCCACAGTATACGTGCCGGTCACCGCGGTTCGGTTCTCCGAACCACGGGAATGAACTCGACTACAGAACACTCAAATGGTGGGAAATTGAGTCACAAGGGAAGGGGGGAAACGTTGACAATCCCAAAGTCTGAAGAATTCAATGTTGACAGGGTACAGATCGCCTTCGTGATGCCATGGCAAGTGCCTCCTTGGTGAGACTACAGAAAAGTCAGGAAACTCTCTTCACGAGTCATATAAGCACTGTACCTGAAGCTGTGAAGGCACGAGCCGACAAACATGCATTCTGATGAGATAGGATTCATTCGCACGTGTCTCTATATGCATCATCGACATAGTAATGAACGGGAATTTACTGACTTATGCCTTGGAGGCACACTGTAGGGGAAGTAGAGAAGAAATATGAGTCATGCTATAGTTGTCTTGATTTCCCTCACGTGGATACTTCTTGTTCTTCGCCAACGTGGTTGTAGATCCGAACATTACCATCGCGGGTGAAGATATCATGGCGTATTTGAGACATTCTGATGGATGCGATCCTCCAGCGAGCGTGAACGTCGCGACTATAGGTCTCATGGTAATAGCCGTAGTAGACTACTTCTCGAATGTTACCCTGGAGGATCTGGATTCGTTCAATTGCCGCCCACGTCCCTGACGCGTGGTCCTCATCAAGTACTTCGATGTCGGGAGTCGTCACCTGGAGAGTGATATACAGCCCATCAAGCGCCTTAGGGATCCAGTCGCGTAGGAACTCTTTTCCTTTATAGATCGGGCTGTCTGCTTGTCCTGGCGCAGGGTTGAATTGTGCCGTGGCGTCTTCTGTTAAACATGCCGCCCAGGCATCCCAGTTTCGTTGCTGAATGGCCCGGACGTAACGCGATTTGAGCCTTGTGATTTCGAGGCAGGCTTGAAGTCGGAATAACTGGTTGTCAAGGGACATTGTTCTGGTCACCACACTTGTCAACCACTGGAGGGCACAATGAGTCTATCATAAAGAGTGGCTACGCACTTTGGACTTGCCAGCCCTTTTGCCGACTTCCGCTGTAATGCTCCTTGTGGAAGACTATTTTTTTGCAGGCAGGTTTGAGAAACCGGTTCCGGCGAGAAGGGTCGTTCTATAGTCAAGGAGTATAGATGCGTTTCCCCAACTACTTACTAGATCTACCCAAGACATCTCCTTAATCAAGCCGGACCTGCTTAGATTCGGTTGACCGTCCTCGGCTCCTGCGATGGGAAGGTTTAGATCGTCAATGGAAAACCCTGTTGGCCTGGACAAGCGTTAGGTAGTTGAGAACGGTCAGAGTAGGGAGTGTTTCTCACACATTCCTGGGTCTTTTCTTAAGGGTTGCATGAGCATTTGTCATATACTAGATTCGAGCTTTGCTCACATCCTTCAATCCTTCTGGGGTAGAAGCTGTTTACAGAATTGACACCGGACAAATGCGAAAACTACATGACCGTGTTGCGAGGCCCGGCATCTTCTGTCTACGCCAGCGCCACTAACGGGCGAGCTTCTCCATGCTATAAGAGGGACAGAGGCCAGGAGGCAACTAACACGATACAAATTAGGGGGGGGAACGGGCGTGAAACTGCCAACGGAAATTTAATGTGAAACGAGAGCCGCGGGTGATAAGCCGCGGAAAAAGAAGTATAGCATATTGTACGGAGTCTAATGACCATGCAAGCCACGTTATTACGACGGGTACCGAGGATCCTCCCAAGGCTATCAAAGTGATCAATGTTAATAAGAACCGCCATTGGCAAATCTTTTCATCACGGCACTGTCGCGCCGGTTGCTCCTTCTTACCTCAAGTCCACACTCCAAGTCTCCATAGCATCACGACTGTCGGATTCTTTCAACTTCTCTCCACGGAGAACAAAGCGGGAGATGCAGAGGATCTCCTTTTCAAGCGTAGAAGGAAGATACGAAGAAGTCGTGGGCGTCACCCAACCCAACCTTGTAGGAGCGCTTGTCCCACGTGACCTCACATGGCCATAGGCGGCTTAGGCATAGTTGGGAACCCTTTGGCCCCGTCGGAGAGTGGAAGAGCCTGGCATTGTACCATTATGAGACCCCTAGCTGTGCCTACTGTACAGTATGGGCATTATTAAGGTGTTTGTAGCCTACAGCATGCATGCAGATCTGGTACTCCGTAAAATATACGGAGGACCTGTCGAGGAATGACTCGAGCCTAATACTTAAAGCCAAATCGAAATCATGCGACTCACTTAATGCTCTTGATCAGACGGCCGTAACAAGAGTCAAGTCTCGTAGTGGTCGTACAGGAAGTGTCTACTGTACAGCTACACCGGATGCACGACACCTGCCGATTGTGCAATAACCTATCCGTTCGTACTCCGTGTGTCCCTGTATTACTCCCGTAATACTGAGTGTGAGCCATTAATGCAAGCACTTATGTTCAGTAAAAGACCAGGCTGGGATTTTAGGCGGGCGGATTCCCACGGAGGTGAGTGGATGGTAAATGGCCTCAGTGTTCGTCAGTTGCCCAGAGCACTGCCTCGCTTCACCAGATCAACGGGCTAGATTGTCAGCCACCAAAAATGTCCTTCGGCCATGATGACCTAAGCTTCCATTCCAGTGGGCTTGTTGTCGAGGGATGAGAAATGAGAAAATATATCGCAAGAATCCTACGCGTAATAGGAGCGTGTCTTTTCAATGTGACCAATGTTCCTTGAGACATGAAGACTGGGAGGGTGGTACCAAATTGCAGATCAAACAAGGAATCGTCTTCTACTTTTTTTGAAGCAACGAGTCGAATAGCCATCACGTGCTGATCATCAGGGAGGCAGCTCCCAAACGCCTCAAGTCTCCAGGGCCCTGTGGGTGGCCAAAGTTGCGTGTCGAGCCTCCGCCCCCTGCCTAGTGAAGAGCCCGGGTTTGGCGTCGCAGCCAAAGCGCCAGATTTACCCAGCCCGGCGTCAGCTTCTCGCCAACCTCCAGTTCGTTTTATCTTTCATCCCCATTCTCACCGTTTGACAACTTCGCTACCTCTCCATCTGCATCCAATTCATCCCAAAAGACCATCTCTGATTGTCACAAAGTTATCCAGCACGACGACAGCTGACCCCTCCGACAACACCCTACCCCTTTCCGAACCGTCTCTTTATCTGCACGCATTACATATCACCAGCAACCATGGCTGATCGAGAGCAACCCTACGACCCCTACATTCCTTCGGGCGGACAAGGAGGCGCACCTCCCGCTGGAGGAAACCAGAGAACAGCTGCTCTGCAAGCGGTACGTGATATACAAAATTCTATACATTCGGGGGCGCATTGAGATGAGTCTTGTTGTTACTGGCGGCGGCGATATTCTGCTGCTCAAAGTGTCGCACGTGGCATTCTTGTCTGAGGTGGCATCAAGAGCTTTCGCCGCGGCTCGCCATTAGCCATCTCGAACGTATAGCGCCCATCGACTTATGAATCTGTGATTTCCTGTGAAAGAAGCTCTACTGACATATCTTGCTATAGCAAATCGATGACACTGTCGGTGTTATGCGAGAGAACATCAATAAAGTATCACAGAGAGGCGAAAGACTAGACTCGCTGCAAGATAAGACCGACAATTTGGCCGTCTCGGCGCAAGGATTCAGAAGAGGCGCCAACCGCGTCCGAAAACAGATGTGGTGGAAGGACATGAAGATGCGCATGTGCTTGATTGTTGGTATCATTGTCCTGCTTATCGTTATCATTGTCCCAGCTGGTAAGTCATCTCTGGCCATTTCCATGAGGCCAAAAATGCTGACCTTCACACAGTGGTCGCTACCCGACACTAGATTGATCGATGATCGAGCATGACGACGGCGATGACCACCACAGAGCGAGAACAACTTTCCTGACGACATGATAACCCAGACTTGATCTTTTGGGCTAGTGACTGTACAATATGAACTGGTCGAAAGGACTCAACGCTTTCTTGAATGCATGCGATAGGTTTCCTCGACACAATCACTCCAAAGGATTTACGAAATCGGCAAAACATGTCCTTTGAACTTCTGGAGGAGAATTTTTGAGAGCGTGATGATGAGCACTTGCATAGTGCTTCAGGCGTCCAGGCGCGATGGGACTGTAGGGCTACTTGTTACAATAATACCATGAGCTCTTTTGACCAAATGTGGCACCAATGACACCCGAATCAGGCTGCACGGAATAGTCGTTCCATACTCTTCTGAGAGGGTTTCCAATAGATTTAATCGAAAGCCCGGAAGCACTGACATGTGCCTATGGAACGGTATCATTAGCGATTGCGATGTGCTTTCTCGTGCTCCGTATCTTTGTTTTACGTGGCGTACTTGTAGTACCGCTTCAATCGCAGTGTCTTGAAATGATTGTAAAAGTCCATACCCTAGTCGGTAGCCGCCCAAATTTCAACAATACATTTCTTCCGCTCAATAGGTATTATATTGTCGCCCCTCCGTGGCAATTACGCTCTATGGCTCGATCGATCTGCAGGGAATTGTCAATGTCCAATGTTTGTTGCAGCACTAGTATGTAGCCCACGTTGAGTAGAGGGTTCGAAAAATTTTCCTAGAAGCCGAAGGTCGGAGCCCTAGCAAAACGGCCCAGGACACGCCACCATTGGGAATCGATTACCCATGGCAGTTGGGGTTGGCTGAAGAAGACTCATAATCATCCCCCCGCAAATATTTTGTCCTCTGGGTATTGCATGCTGCACGAGAAAAAAAAATTGTTATCAGGGACTTCCTGTATTTTCCGCATCTCTTTGCATAGTTGCTTCGGCGTCTCCAGGTTAGATTGGGTGGTAGACCTCTTCCTGCTTGTTGTTCTGGCTCAAAAAAATACTCTCCTCTCCGCCTCGACCGCCGACTTATCCCAACCGCAGCCCTAGAGCGACGTCGACTTTCGACCCGTTGAAGTTGTTTCTGGCTGCCGCATGATCTGAAGAACAATGTCGGCGATAGGTGCAGCTGCTGCGCGGGCAGCCAACCGAGCTGCAGCGGCGTCTGCTGTCCGTCCTCGATCCTCTCGAGCTCTACGTCTTGCTCGATCCTCCCGATCTCTGATCGCTTGCCCGATCACCTCTCGACGATCCTATTCGTCTCCCTCTGCCGCCAACCCGTCTACGAGGTCTACAGTGGTGCAGCTGCTGAGCAACATTGGGTCCAAGAGGGAAGTGCAGCAATATCTTTCCCACTTCACCTCGGTCTCTTCCCAGCAGTTCGCCGTTATTAAGGTCGGTGGAGCTATCTTGACCGAACACCTCCAGACACTATCCTCCGCCCTTGCATTCTTGAACCACGTTGGTCTCTATCCGGTGGTCGTCCACGGCGCAGGCCCACAGCTGAACAAGATCTTGGAGGATTCCGGTGTGGAACCCCAGTTTGAAGATGGCATCCGGGTGACCGACCCAAAAACCTTGGGCATTGCACGCGCGCTCTTCCTGGAAGAGAACTTGCGCCTCGTCGAGGAATTGGAGCGGTTAGGTGTGCGTGCCAGACCGATCACGTCGGGTGTTTTCACGGCCGACTATCTGGACAAGGAAAAATATAACCTCGTGGGGAAGATTAACCATGTTGACAAGAGACCTATTCAGGCCGCTATTCAGGCAGGCTGCTTGCCAATCCTGACTTCGATGGCAGAATCCAAGGACGGTCAAGTCTTGAACGTCAATGCTGACGTCGCGGCGGGTGAACTGGCCAGAGCACTACAGCCATTGAAGATCGTCTACCTGTCTGAGAAGGGTGGGCTGTTTAACGGTGACACCAAGGAGAAGATTTCAGCAATAAATCTCGACGAGGAGTATGACCATCTGATGACGCAGTGGTGGGTTCGACACGGTACGAGGCTGAAGATCAAGGAAATGAGAGAGCTCCTGATGGATTTGCCTCGAACCTCCAGTGTGGCGATCATCCACCCAGCCGATCTGCAGAAAGAACTGTTTACTGACTCGGGAGCCGGTACTTTGATCCGCAGAGGTAACAAAGTCCATGTCAACACCTCCATCGACCAATTCGAGGATATCGACAAGCTCAAAGAAGTTCTCATTCGGGATCGCGCCGGCCTCGATGCCAAGGCTGTCGTTGATCAGTATGTTAAGGGCCTGCACAACCGTGAATTCAAGGCGTACTTCGATGAACCCATGGAAGCTTTTGGCATTGTGTTGCCACCCAACGGAGAAACCACTCTGGCTCACCTGGCTACGCTGACCATTACCAAGAATGGCTGGCTGACGAACGTCGCCGATAACATCTTTGTTGCCATCAAGAAGGATTTCCCAAAGCTGATGTGGACCGTGAAGGAAGATGATGAGAACCTGACTTGGTTCTTTGACAAGGCCGACGGTAGCCTTTCCAAGGACGGCGAGGTTCTCTTTTGGTACGGCCTAGAAACCAGCGACGAGGTTAAGGATCTGATGGTCGAATTTACGAAGCACGGTCGACAAATGTTTGGTGACATTAACCTCGAATCCAAACTTGTCCGTGCTGCGCGAGCTGCTTCACAAATGGCAAGCAAGGCAGCTCAATCGGCTGGGCTCGCACAAAAGAGAACATTTTCGACACAGGCGAATCCTTTGCGCTCTGCACGACAGGCACGCTATGTGACACGACCCGCTCTCTCCGTTCGCACCTATGCTTCTACTACCAACCCCAACCCACCTCTTGGTGCGAAGAACAGCTCCAACCCCAAGCCGTCAAGGGTTGCCCTCATCGGAGCCCGAGGCTATACCGGAAAGGCTCTTGTCGATCTCCTGAACCGTCATCCCAACATGGATCTGCGCCATGTTTCTTCGCGAGAACTGGCCGGACAGAAGCTCAAGGGATATGATAAAAGAGAAATCATCTATGAGAATCTGAGCGTGGAGGACGTCGAAAAGATGGAGGAAGAAGGTGCCGTCGACTGCTGGGTCATGGCTCTTCCCAATGGTGTCTGTAAACCGTTCGTGGATGCCATCGACCGTGTCGGTAAGAACAGTGTTATCGTAGACTTGAGCGCCGACTACAGATTTGACTCTGCCTGGACTTATGGTCTGCCCGAGTTGGTGGATCGTGCTGCCATTGCCAAAGCCACTAGAATTTCCAATCCTGGTTGCTACGCGACGGCAGCTCAGATTGGAATTGCTCCTTTGGTTCCATACATCGGAGGTCAGCCTACGGTCTTTGGTGTCTCTGGCTATTCTGGTGCTGGTACGAAACCAAGCCCAAAGAACGACGTTCAGAATCTCACAGACAACATCATTCCCTACTCCCTGACCGACCACATTCACGAACGCGAGATTTCGACGCAGTTGGGAACTCCGGTGGCTTTCATCCCTCATGTTGCTGTGTGGTTCCAGGGCATCCACCACACAATCAACATTCCCTTGAAAGAGGAGATGAAGTCGAGAGATATCCGAAATTTGTACCAAGAACGCTATGCCGGAGAGAAGCTGCTCAAGATCATCGGTGAAGCTCCATTGGTCAAGAACATCGCTAACCGCCACGGTGTCGAAGTTGGTGGCTTCGCTGTTCATTCGAGCGGGAAGAGAGTGGTCATTTGCGTCACCATCGATAATTTGTTGAAGGGTGCTGCGACGCAATGTCTTCGTAAGTCTTTTAGTATCCGTCACGAGAGCTTTTACTGATAATGGGATCGCAGAAAACATGAATCTGGCCTTGGGCTATGGAGAGTATGAAGGTATCCCATCAGAGTAAAGGAAAACAACATAGGCTATGCCTATGTCGCCTTGGGGTTTTCTCGCCTCATACGCTGAGAAAGTGCTATACGCTTCCTGCGCCCCTGGGTTTCGGAAAGCTTACAGGTTTGCGAATGGACGTTTTGATCTTTAGCCGGGGTGTACAGCGCACTCTTCCCCGGCACTTGTCTAGGAAACGCGATAAAGGGGGGATAGAAAAGCAAGTTCCAGTTCATATAAATTCCGCGTTTTAAAGACCAAGAATTAGGTGGACACGCTATAAGATACGAGTTCGCCACATCTCGATGATCTTGGGCTTGATGCGAAGGATTTTTCTACAGTAAACACGGTCGGGTTGTGGAGTTTGTAGGTAGGTAGGACTGGGCATCAAAGAGATGGTGGCCACCGTGTCGCAGTGTGCTCTTGGGAATTGTTTCTGGACAACGGGAAAAAAAGAGATAATGATGACGATGGCTTCAATTGAGATATGTGGTGTTTATTTTTCTTTTCTGGAGGCTCTGTTTTTCTTTCGAATTCCAGCGCCAGAGTCGACTAACGATACAGTCAAGTCAACTTTTTTGTCTGGCGTCCGAGTTCGTCGCGTTCCCCATCTCGTCCTTTCAATGCCGTTGCACATGAGGCACTCCTCCTACACAAAGGTACATTTTTACTTTACTGAACGTTTTGTTGCCTTTTTGGTTTTTCGACCGACCGCCTTCACTTCACTTTACTCTGCACCACAAAGAAGGGACCTCTTCAGACTTTTTTTCCAGAACACCATACCGTCCTCATTCCCAAATCACCACTTACCTCTCCATCTCTCTCTCTTCCTGCAGGACACCACAGAGTCTACACTTTTCTCCAGGGGCGGGGCATTGTTTGGCTACCTCAGGGTGGTGATTGCGACGCCATGTTCTACAGCCACGAGAGTACGTTTTTGTCTTTGTTGGTTTTAGTTTTCTTCACGTGAGCCCGAAAGGGGAGGGGGTTTGTGTGTGTGGACTAGAGATTGAGTTGAAGGCCCCAATACTGATAATCAACCACCCTTCCTTTTTTTTAGTTCTGACGAGTCGTCAACACGGAGTAGCTACAATATGGTACGTTCTTTTTGTCTATCGCGTCTCTCTCGCGTTTATCGCGTTTCTAAGCTACCCCTGACGCTGACAATCCCTTCTCTCTCTCTCTCAAAAGGCTGGTGGCGACACTCGGTGCCAAATCCAACCTGAAGAAAGTGACACGTAGGGCGATCCTTGACGTCGACGTCCCAAGAGCATGCCAGACCATCACGGAGCCAGAGTTGCCCATGGCACTACGCCTGCAGGGGAGCTTACTGTAAGTCACATCTCCAAATGGAGGAAACTTGGCTCGTAGGGGGAAGAAAAGGAGATTTATTTTTCTTTGTAGAGTTATCCATGATTAACTTCTTTTCCTTTGGGACGACAGGTTCGGAATGACACGAGTCTTTTCACAACAGTGTGGTTATGTCTTGGTCGATGTCACGAGCCTGAGGGATAAGATGAGAGGGATCGAGTATGCTTCGAATGAGATGGAAATTGATCCGGAAGTGAGCAAGACGAGGTGAGTGTGTGTGTGTTGCTTTGAGGAACAAAACGACAAATAGACACACCCGGAGACTGACGGGGATGGCCATTTGCGATTTTTTTTGCATGAAACACAGACCAGAACAACTCAACATTCGAGAAGATCCTTTCTATTTCCCAGAAATAGACCTCAATTTCGACCTGGCTGCCTTTGGCATTCCGTCCGAGGCCTCTAGCGGTGCCTCAACTCGCAGCCTCCCTTCGACCCAGTCTAGTCTACAGATTAGTGATGAGGACGGACTTGACGAATGTGAAAGAGTCGGAGGAGAAGAGGAAGAAGCTGGCCTGGACATACATTCTTACAGCACGCCTGGAGGGGTTTCGGGTTTCGGTTCAGGACCAGGAACAAGTTTCCATGCCGGGAATGGGAGCAAGTCCCAAGAGCACTATTCTCTGTTCGAAGATGAGCCACTCGTTCTCGACAACCCTGTCTTTGACCTTGGTGACGACGGGTTTCTCCATCCGGCCGTGTCCGCGCTCTTGCAGGACGGAGACGAGGCAGGCATGGATCCATGGGCTGCCCATGGGGGCAACGTGAGTATTGGCGGCGACAATTATCCTGGGGTCCAATTGCCCGACGATCAAATTCATTTTGACGAGGACATCATCATGTTTGAAGATTCGGAGGCTGCAGTCCAGAATGCTGGAGCTCCAGTGACACCGCAGCGTGCAGGTACAGAGGCACAACAAAGCGAACATGGCACTTCCCTCACCGAGTCCTACCAGGAGCAATCAGAGACGGCCGAGGCACCGCAGCAACGTGTGCGTCAGGTAAAGCCTCTTCGACCAGACCAGCGAACAGAGTTGACCAACCGAGACCTGAGCAACTGGAACCAGAACTACCTCGCCAACATGGATGAGGCATACAAGGCAAAGCAAAATCAAAAGTCACACCGTGAAGCAAAGAAGAAGGCGGAATTCTGGGTCATGGAACAAGGTATCGGCAATGTTGCCACCAGCTTTGGTGCCGACAGAGAACCGCACCCTCTTGCGATGTTCAGCGGTCAGTCACTCTGGGACCTGCTCAAGGGTGTGCCCATCGGTGTCAAAAGATCGCGCAGCGGCTCCGAAACCGATGAGGATGGGGACGATGAAGAGGCGAGACGAGTCAGAGCCAGAACAACTTCCGACGAAGGGGTAGCTCGTGGGCACGACGTCGGGGGCGACGGCTTCGTCTTTGGTGATGACGACGATGTCCCAATGTTCCCAAGCGACAACTTCAACCCCGAGAGCGAAGTCGGTCGACAAGCGCCTTCCTCGCTGCCCGACCGCTCATCAGGTATGCCCTGGAATGTCTCCGCATCTCGTCATAGTTCTGCTCAGCCCTTGGGGAGCGGATTGGTAGCGAGATTGAGCTCCAGCGTGGGAGGTCTACCCGGCGGTATGGAACTCGGTCCACCTTCGGCACTTGGAAGGCGCGGATCTCGTCTCACCTCTGCAAGCCCTTTGCTGGGAAGAGGCTCCGGTGCGTCTAGGATCGGCAGCCCTTCACTTCTAACCAGCAATACTGAAGATGAGTTCGCAGACCTGGATGCGCAGCTTGGCCTCGGCACCGACGTGGAGGACTTTGAGCTGTACGGACCGGCCGCTGATGTCGATACCCAGACGGCGCAGCAGAGTTCATGGATCGCGATGGCCTTGGAGAATGAAGCCAACAATTTTCTCAGTTTCGTAAAGACGAAGATCAACGAGCAGCCACGTGATCAAGGGGAGGTCGGTGAGAGTACGGAGATGTCGAACGGAATCACGTTTGAAGAGTTACTTCCACCGACTCAGAATTCGTATATTGTTGGCGCTCAGGGCCTTCTCCACGTTCTCGCATTAGTCACCAGGGGTTTGCTCGAGGTGACACAGGGTGAACCGTTTGGAGACATTGAAATTTCAGTTGCCAATTTTACATGACTGCTGGATAGGAGGAGAGAGCAAGGGAACAGATATTGAAACACCCAGGTGGTTTAAGCGGGCCTTGTCGGTTCGACGGTAAGAGGATGCTTTCCGACTTGTCGCGGTGGAAGGGCTGGACGACGATAGAAGCTACGTCATATTGTGCGCAACAAAAAAAGGGTGAAAGATGTGGACGAGTCGTCGAGAATTGCAGTGTACGGAGTAATCATCATCACAGTTGAGACCGGCAAAGGAGAATCCGTCTTGAAGTGGTTGAAACAACATGTCGTTTGTTAGGCTGTGATTGACTCGGTGCTGGGTGGTTGAAACATCATCCATACTGTCTGATCGTCAGCCAATCCCGCCGAGACTGAATCGGGCTGGCCGTACAGTACGAATGTGGCTGAGACATACTTTGTGCAGAATACTTCAACTCACCAGCCACAATTCGTCCACGAGGAGAGTTACGTAGTTCTCTGTGCTCATGTACGATACATTCGGCCACCGATAAGCGATAAATCTGTTCATCTGACATGTCAAGATGACGGCGTGGAAGGGCATTGATCTTTTGAGAGTGGCAGGGCATGGCAAAAACGGCTGTCAGGTAAACAGGTGGTGTAGCTTTCAGTCCTGCGGGAGTAGGTCAGTGGCTGTTCTGGGCATGATGGAGGTCAAAGAGTCCACGTTGGCCTGGTGCGCCCCCCACGTAAGTGGCCCGTAGTCTAGTCGTACCCGGAACACCTTTGGGTGCCTTTGGGTAGGTAGAGGTTAGTGGGCGATCAGTGCCCGAGAAGCAACAAATCAAGGATCTGTACCTGGCAGCCAGTGCCTCGGTGGGCTGTCGGCTGCCCATCAACCGCCACCAAGCTATGGAGCACTCGTACTCATAAGGGCTACACTAAAGAGTTACGAGTACAAAGTATCCGAAAAATATGTTCGAAAAGAGATGTTCAGTAGCTGTACTCGTACCTTTGCTACATGACGATATCTACAGTACTGCGCAGTGCGCAGTACTCGTAATCATTACGGAGTCACCTTGCCATCGGACCTATGGATACGGAGGCGTGCAGAAATAGCTTAGTCCCATAATTCCTATGACGGTTTAAAAAGACATTATACTATTAGACATTCTAGGTAAAGAGTACCTAATAAGGCCTGTAGTGACTACCAAAGAAATAAGGGGGATGAAACCCCAGACTGAGTAGACTAGTAGCTACGGCCATACCTAAAGCTTTAGCAGAGAGAACATTTTTTAGGCTCTATTAGGCGTCACCTACTTAGACGCTCTTAAAAAAACATGTCTTTTGAAATTGCTAATTAAATGACAGAACTAGACTATCAGAGATTAATGTCTCTCTAGACTGGTCCTTCGGCGTCCTTGCCCTACTGAATAAGTATCCGTACCCATGTATGGAGTAATTAAGACGAGCTCCTTACAGGCTTTCAAGCGAGTGCCGGGATCGATCGCATTAGCCTGTGTAGACAACGGAGTAATCATACTTGTAAGGAGTCTATGAGTGGCCTGGATTGAGTCCGTACAGTAGTAGACCCTCCATACGAGTCCCCATAAGAATGCTCCGTACCTGGAACTTAGCATCAGCCTCGCCACGGCCTTAGGGACTCGTGCTCCGTACTTGCACATACGCTTCGACCACCTCCCGCCCACTGCTGTGCATTGACTTTGCCCACCACACACACGAGCATAACCATCGTACACCTGCTCTTTGTTGTGACAACTCGTCATCGTGGGACAGTTGGTTCACTTCTTTTTTTTTGTTTTTCCGTTCGGTCCTTTCAACAATTCTTTCTTGAACTGCTCTACGCCTGGTTGCGTTGCAAGGCATTGTTTCGCGCTCTTCGATTCCACCGGACCAGCCCAAAAGAACAAAGGGCCTTCGTTGACCTCAACTTGAAAACCAGCTTCGCTTCATCGGCAGTTTTCTTTGTTTTGCGCATTCTGCCGCAAGCCGTCGCCGTCCTCCAAGATTCAACACGCGCATCGTCGGCTCGGCCGGTTCCAAGACTGATCTCCGTCAGCTTGCGACAATGGCGAGCAACCAATATCGCCAGCAATGGCAACAAGGTCCAACCCAGGTGCAGCAGCCTTACCAGTATGATCGTAGGAATGACCAGAGACAATGGCAAGAGAATGGGCGCAGCCAGGGAACATCATACAACCAGGGGTATCAGCAGTACAATGACTATCCTCAAGATCGCAACGGGTACGACGACGGCTATGGTCATGTGCAGCAGCCTCCAACGAATTACGGTCGAAATGGACATTGGCAAGGCCAAGTCCAGGATCAATATCAACCGAGTGGTTTCCAAGATCCGCCTTATTACGACAACGGAAACGGATACTCACAACCACCTCCGCCGCAGCGCGACCCTTATCCCGAGCAAGCCCCGTCCTCAGGTCGCACATACCAATACGACGAACGTTACCGTACAAATGCACCAAGCAGGCCGCAGCCAGAGTATCACAATCATTCTTCAGGCGGACAGAGACCGTCGCGGGAAGCAAGATCTGGTCCATCTACACCACAAAAAAGACAGAAGAGTATGACGGATCATCCCGCTCATGGACAAAATGCTGACAGGAGATAGCGCGAGAACGCATTCTAGCCGAACCGACGTCGCCGAAGAACCTAGCCTGGGACAATCCTTTTGGCGCTTGGCCGCAAAAAAAGAAGCCGGTTGAGAGACAGAGGCACAGCAGTCTGGATGCTGAGTTGAAAGGTTTGAGCCTCAACGAGAGACCAGACAGTCGAGAAGCACGCCCAAACACGTCGCATGGACACCGCAAGAGGGATGAACACAGGTCTAATACTTCACATGGTGGCAGACCGAGCATGGAGCGACCCATGCCACCTCCGATGGACCATCAGATGCCTCCTCAGGAGATGAGATATCACCCGCAAGAGCCGAATCCATCAAGGGACAGGCGTCCACAGGATGTATCTCGCCCTCCACCGCTTCAAGATTACGGGGTAGCCCAGAGACAGGACTCTATGGACCTCAACAGACCACCACATCGATCGCAGGAAAATGTTCCTCCTTCGCCTCGACGTGTACCACGGCAAGATCCACGAGGACCTCCACCCCCGAACAACCGCGAATACGCGCAAACCGGGCCTTTTGGTGGAATGGACAGATATGGCGCTCCAGGAGAGTATGGAGCGCACATGAATCAGCTCCCTCCACAAGATGCTTCCCGCAATGAGTATCTTCGAGACGAAGGATATGCACAAGATTATGTTCCCTCTTCGAGAGCCGACGAATCACCTGTAGAGCCGCCACCGCAGCCGCAACAGCGTCAACCAGTTCGTCCGCCCCGTACCGAGGGCTTCGACCCGAACAGCTATAGAGGAGTGCCCAACACTGCTGGGCCAAACAAGACAAGGAGTCAAGAAATGCCAAACTTTGATGCTATACCCACAAATGCTAATGAAAAACCCGAAGACCATATTAGCACTGGGCAAGCACCTTTTGACCAGCAAGTTTACCGCAAGCCAACCTACCAAGTTCCCGGATCGTTCCCTCCCCCAGTCGATACTGCCGACATCATCCCATCACCACCGTTGAAACACAACAACAACAGTTCTCCTCTCGCGGACTTTGCTTTTGATCTGCCGCCAAGCAGAAACACTGGATCGGTCGATCGCCCATCTCCTGCAACATATCAAAATGGTTACAATGATGGTCCCAGGCCTGGACCAGGGGGCTATGAGGGCACTCAGCGTCCGCAAGCACAGTATCCTCCTCGATCAGCAAGCAGGAACAACATGAAACCGCCACCTACAGGGGATCTGCCACCCATCCCAAACAATGCTCCTCCGTATCGATCATTCAGTCAGGACCAATACCCTGCACGTCCCCACACGAGTAATGCCCAACGGCCACCGCCGCAGCCTGATATGGTTGCACCATACGACCGAAGCTACTCTGACCAATTCAGGGCTCCTTCGGCACCTGTCCCCAACCAGTACAACCAGGGCTATAGTCCAAGTCCAAGTCAACAGCAGAGACAACCCTATGGACAGCAACAACCTACCCCACGAGGTATGTCTCAGGAAAATTACTCGGGTGGTCCACCGCCCAGGAAACCATCCCAGGACAATTATAACCCTGGTCCTCCTCGACCTTCGACCTCGTCTGCACATCCGGTTCCAGTCAGACACTATGGCGATTCGAGTGTCAACCTCAATACCAACCCAGACGCTCTCCCAGCTCACCCCGAGCCAGTTAGAGGAAGTGGAAATGGATATCAACCGCAAGTCCAACCTGCTCCACCAGCAATGGCACAAGCACAATCAGCCCCTGTACAAAAGCGAGATAGTGCAACTGGCCGTAGCGATACGCCCCCTGTAACTCTTCAAGAGCTCAACAGCCTTCGTGTAGAATACAGCAAAAATCCAGCCAACTATGCCGTCGGTTTGAAACTTGCAAAGAAAGAAGTTGAGGCTGCTAGAGTGCTGGCGGACGAAGGTGGTGCGGCTGATGCCAAACAAACTCAAAAGAACCGAGAAAAATACATTTTCGACGCGCACAAATTGATCAAGAGACTTGTCGCGGCCAGTTATCCCGACGCCATGTTCTACCTCGCCGACTGTCATGGCCAAGGTCTCTTGGGACTTCCAGTTGATCCAAAAGAAGCTTTCCATCTCTATCAATCGGCCGCCAAACTCAATCATGCGCAAAGTGCCTACCGTGTCGCCGTGTGTTGCGAACTGGGCTCCGAAGAAGGTGGTGGTACGCGCCGCGACCCCCTGAAAGCGATTCAATGGTACAAGCGCGCCGCCACGCTGGGCGACACGCCCGCCATGTACAAAATGGGCATGATCCAGCTCAAAGGCCTGCTGGGACAACCGAAGAGTCCACGTGAAGCTGTGTCGTGGCTCAAACGTGCCGCCGAACGGGCCGACAAAGACAACCCGCACGCGTTGCACGAACTGGGTCTCCTCTATGAGTCTGCGTCTGGGAACGACAGCATCATCCGCGATGAGCGGTACGCATTCCAACTGTTCCAGCAGGCCGCCGAGTTGGGCTACAAGTATTCCCAGTTCCGACTTGGGTCGGCGTTTGAGTACGGCTTGCTCGGCTGTCCCATCGACGCGCGGCAGAGCATAGCCTGGTACACGCGCGCCGCGGCCCAGGGTGAACACCAATCCGAGCTCGCCCTGAGTGGGTGGTACCTCACTGGCAGCGAACCGCTTTTGGTTCAGAGCGACACCGAGGCGTTTCTCTGGGCTCGAAAGGCCGCTAGTTCCAATCTCGCAAAGGCCGAATACGCAATGGGTTATTTCAACGAGGTCGGCATCGGGACGGGAGTTGATGTCGAGGAGGCCAAGAGGTGGTATTACAGAGCAGCATGTGAGTGGTGTTTTTTCGTCATTACCCCTCTTCCGTCTTTTTCTGTCCTGTTGGTATTGAAACTAACCTTCCTGTCAATCTTTAGCTCAAAATTTCCCAAAAGCCCGGGAACGCCTCGAGGAATTGAAACGAGGTCAAAAGATGCAAAAGACACGAGTTTCACGGTCGAACGTCAACAGACAAAGTGACGGGGAATGTGTCGTCATGTGAGAGAAGTAGTTTTGTTGTAATGGGAATGAAGACGTTTTCCTTTTTACTCCTTTTCTTCATTCATCTCATCCCAAGGAATGAAAAACAGACACATTCTTGAGACGTCTCTCTTTTCTTTCCCCTTCCGTTTTGTGTGGACTCCCTCGATTTTGAAGCGGGAAAGGGGGCCACAGGCGATTGGTCTTGTGGACGAATATGAAAAGTGAAATGTTTGTGTTTATTACGGAAACCCTTGGAAGTGGCCTGCAGAGAGGGGGGGAGAGAGAGAGACGCTCTGTCCAGGATGCCCTTTTCCTACTTGTGGACTGTTTCACACGCTCACTCTCTCCATGTATGTAATGTATCGATAATATGATGATGGTGATGATGTGTGTGTGAGACCTTTTTTTCTTTTTTATTACTTGTCCAAGGAAAGAAAAAGAAAAAAAAGAAAGAGGCAAGACCCCCCCCCCAAAAAAAGACAAAAGGGTTCGAACGTCTTGAGGTGGGTATGAAAAAGCTCTCTGGCTGGCTTGATCATTTTTGATTCCCACAAGAGTATGTCATACATATCCAAGATCACCTTTGCCCGTTCTTTCTCCCGCTCGCTCGACGATTGGGATCCCCTTCCCAAATCTATACTGTATCAATACCACCACCCAAGGTGGATTTTTCGGCTTGCTCCGTGGGCCGGCACTTGAATCGACGCCCCGTGCGACAAAGGCAAGGATCGAAGAGGGGCCTTTTTCTTCTCCCCCCACGAATGTAATCGACAGCAAGGGAAGACAAATGCAAGATGTAGGGATCAAGCCCATGTTTTTTTTTGGTGTCCATCGTCCCTCTTGCCCGATGCCTCGGCCGAGCATGATGGCCGGAGCGATACCGAGTATGTATATACATCCTCCTTCAAAGACACGGCGGCCTGGAGCAGGACCGACTCTAGGTACGGGGGGCAGATATCATGGCAAAGGGCATAGTTTTTGTATCTTCAGCCGGGCAACACACGAAGCACAATCAAAAGGAAATTCAAACATGGGCACGTACGATTATCACGAGACATAAAAGGAGTCGACAGTTTGGGTCAATCATTTTTGATTGATTTGTGATGTGATGGCTAAACTAAACTAAACTGAGACCAACCAGCCAGCTGACTTCACGAAGAGAGTCGATGCTGTAGGAAGGTTGACAATCCTAGAGAGCAGATCTCTTAAACCACCCGAAGCATGGAAGAGTCCACTCCATCTGGATTGTGCTTTTTTTTGGGGAGTTTCCATTTTCTGTAACAAAAAAACACACGCTGAAAAGAGGGAATCCATTGGCCAGTTGAGTATGACCTCGCCTTTTGTTCTGGGAGCAGAGACTTCAACTGCTCAAACGTGGCATCCAAGCTGCTTTCTAGACCATGGCGTCAAGTCGATCAAGAGGTGTCGCGCAGTGCCGCAATCCCTCCGAAATTGTCAGATGGCTAGATGTACCACATGGACCACAGGATTGAAGAACCGGCACCCGAGAACAGGGGCATGAGTGGAGCAACTTCCGACTCTGATGGTTGAGACGATCCACTAGGGGTTTTCATCTTGAAGCCTGCACCACCCTGGGGTCCTCGGTGGGCTGGAACATCCTCGTGAGCTTTGGCACGATTGGACGCAAGATGAGCGTAGTAGGCCGCTGGATGTAAGCTCACAGATGTGGTGCTGCGCATGTACTGGTAACAATGTTCGTAGAGCATGTTCTGAAGGGCATTCGGCGTATGATTGGCATCGTCGTAGATGATGCTGTAATGTGTCGGGCGGGAAGTACCCTGCAAGGCGGTGTGAGAGTAGAGATAGAAGTCGAATTCATACGGACTTGTAACATCTCGCTCGATCAAGCAACCAGGTAGCGGATTGCCCTTCTGATCACCTGCGTCCTTTCCGGGAAAGGCTCGAACGTGGTGACGCTTACCGGCAATAACGACAGTGAGTTTGCCATTCCAAGGCTTGTTGTTATTGCACTCCGACAAGACCGATCTGATGTGCGGGACTTCTGATCTCATCACCTGAATGAATTGACCTTCAGAAACACCGTCGCGAATGTAGTAGACTTGCGATGGAATGACTCCACCGCCGACTTGGCTCATCCACTGAGTCGCAAGAGGTTTGAGCATGCTCTTCCAATTGTTTTCGGTAATCATCTCAACACGACGGCCGTTGGTCTGGCATGCAGCAGCATATCGGCCTGCGAATCTGTCAAAGGAGACAGTGATGGCAGCCATCGAGGCCTGCTCACTTCCAGGGGAAGCATGAGACACATCAGCACCGATGATCATGGTGGGCTTATTGAAACCTTTGAACCCCGAGGAAGGATGTGACACTGCCTGAGCAGTAGAACCGCCGAGCTTAGCATTGACCTTCATCAGTACATTGGAGTAGTACTGCGGGTTTCCTTTCAAGACCTGCTGGAGCTGCATGCATTGACTGACGATTCCAAAGCGGCAATCCATCGACTTCTTGATACGCAGGTAGTGAAACGCCTGCCGATCTTGGAGAAGGAATATCAGCAATTGGGGGCGACGCTGAAAATGGTTGCCGGTGGCTTGGTACAGATCATTGACGGCCTCACCGACGTCTGCCTTCAGTGCCATCAGGACCGGAGGGTGGTTCGCAACCTGACCACCATGTTCACGATAAGTCCGCGTAAAGTCAAGGGCAAACTTGTTGAGAGCTGGCTTGTCTGGTTTGAGACGTCCTGGAAAGAAACCGATGCCCCAAGAGGTAAGTTCCTGAGGGTTACGGTGGAGGAATTTGCAACCACGAAGGTCCCATCGACCTTTCGTGCCCGGCTGTTGAACTTTGTTGCCAAATTTCACACCTGGAGCCGGCAGAACTCGGGCATTGGTTTTGATCGGGTTTGGATTGATGCGTAGACCGTAATTCTTCAAATAAGAATCTCCATCCCAGTTGAGCCAGGACTTGCCTTCATTGATGGCCTGAAGACGAACGTGAGGGGGGCTGACTGCAAACTTGATCATGTTTGCAGTTTGGATCTCGTCCAGTTTGGTCAGGTAGCGTGAGCCGGGAAGGACCACAAGGAGTTCCATGGGGTATTTGACACCCTTCTTCGTCATCTCTACCAAGGGTAGATCGGGGTACTGTAGCGCGACATTGTATTTGCGTTGGAAATACTGAGCAACAGACAAATTCTCACCGGTAGGTCTCTTGGTAACTGGGTCCTTCCACTCAAGTTGCTCCTGATGGGCGTTGCTCGTGGAAATAGTGTGAATTTTCCATTCCTTGTTCGGGAACGGGTTGCCCGGGTACTGAGCGACGACCATCACGCCCTTGAGTCCCTTTCGAACCGTGGCGTGGTCATAACTTTCCTCTGACGATCCATTGCCACGGGTTCCCAACTTAGCCGCTACCACCGCAGGAGTCTGCATGCCCCATCTCGTGATGATTGTGGCCAGAAGGGAACCTGGCTTCCAGAAGCAAGTATTGGCAACGTCTAGGTTGATGATGAGCTTCTGCCCTTCGGCCATACGCATTGACTGATAAACCCCACGCCACACTTCAACGCTACCACCGAGATCGGAACGCTGGCCCTGACGCTTGAAGAGTGATCGACGAACAGTGAGAAATTGAGGATTGGAATTGGGACCTTCACGGAGAAGGTGATCCATGAAATTGACGCATTCCGCAACCTCTTGTCCGTACTGGATGCGTCCGGCTAGATATTGCTGGATGAGGCTGATGTCCACCTCACGAGTCTTCTTGATATGCAAGCGGAAAGCGTTTCGTCCCTCTCTGGAGGCCGGACGACCCGCCTCGACGTCAAGGTCGATCATCAGGCGGATCTCACTGTGCTCACGGAGAGACCAAGCAAGACGATTACCATCGTACAACATGGGAGGACCGGTGGCATTCTTCCGAGCTTGCGAATCCCAGATCTTCCGCTGAACAATACGTTTCTCCAGACCATTGCCGATCGTAACATCGTACTGATAGACCTTTGCAGTCGGGTATTGTGCCACTTGGTACGCGTTCAAGGCTAATTGAACCGCCTTGCCTGAAGTATTGAAACCAGGACGTTTAGCGAAGTCCGTGGGCAGCGCGTACTGTTCGTCATAGTCAGTACCCGGTGCAGAGATGTTCCTGAAGTATGGCACACTGATACGGGTGGACATGATGGAGGCTGATACTTGGAATCTGATGACTGGGTATTTTGGGTGGAGGGGAAAGAAGGGCAGAAAAGAAGGAAAAGGGCCCCTTAAGTATGCGAGAACTGGTCGCTGCCACCATCGGGTGAAGACGATGAAGCAGTGGGTGAGACATGACTTGCATCGATATTGAGAACACCATTCGCACGAGAGACAGTGATGCACTGCTCAATGGGTCTTGGGAATAAGTGTAGTGCAGCAAGTGGAGCAAGGATGGAAGTTGGTCAAGATCGGGGGTGAATGGCTGCGACAACAATAGTCGGTGCGACTGAAGGGCAATAGGGAAGATGATCCTGTGTGTGAAACCCAGACAAAGACGTGCATTGTTGTGAAAGCAGCGCGAACAAGGGCAGTGGAAGAGGAACATTGAAGGGGCAATCTTCACGTACCTCCTGATCAATATTGTAGAAGGACGGGGGAAAGTCAACGTTGCGAAGCTGATCGGTGTAACGAGGCTGTTTGTTTCGCGCTGGGTCACCGAGAGGAGCAGCCGGTTGATTTGGAGCCGCTCCACTGCCAGATTGGCTGCTTCGACGACTAGCAGTCGGTGGATTTTGAGGGACTGATCCACCTTGGGGTGCGTTAGGTGAAGTCCCGTGTCCTGAGCCGATGTTTGATGCTGAGCCTCGACTGGCCGGACCATCGAAACCGCCTGCGAAACCACCTTGGCCCGAACGATCGCCACGGCGAGAGCTGGTTTCACTGGAGGGAACGCCTCTAGTGGCCCTACCAGCGCCTCTCTTTCGCGCCGCGCCGCTCATGGTTGGTGAAAGGAAATGAGGATGGAGGAGTCAACTATTGCAAAGTTAGATGATGTTGGTGGCTTGATGAAGGAAGCAAAGAAGAGGACTGAGGTGTTGGATGGAAGAGGATGTGGAAGAAGGGGAGGAGGAAAGGAAGGAAGGAGGCATGTATAAATAGTTGAAAGGAGCAAGGGCAGTGAGGATTGTTGATATGTGAACGCGTGTTTGTTGTCGTTGTGAGGTCAAGAAAGAGCGTTGAGAAAGGACAAAGTGAGAGTGATCAAGGGCTTTGTGTGAGAGCGAACTGACTGGTGTTCCAGAGGACTGCAGACTCAATGTGAGGGAGGAACTAAGAGAACTGCCCAAGAGGCAGGGATGGACTGACTGAGATTACGGAGACGAAGGAAATGGAGATGAGGAAAATAATGACTGAGATGTAAAGAGAAGATTTGAGAGTGAAGGAGGAAGAGAGTGATGAGAGATGAAGAGGGGACAAGATGCAATATGTTTGCTGCCAACGTACCTACCCTCAATCGTTGGGACTGGCAAGCGCCTTGTTCAATTGATGGTGGATGGTTGAGCGCAGCTGCCACTTATGACCATGAACACGTATCTAGCTAGGTAGGTACCCTGTCGCTGCATCACTATTTTTGACTGCGCTGTTTCGATCTCGAATTGCGGTGATGTATCAGCCAGAATGCCCGCGATATTGATCAGTTCATATAGGTACTGATTGCGACGGATAGAGGGATCATACAACAACGACTGTGACAGATACAACACGGTTCCCACCCCTTGCGACGCTCTCTCCCTTCTCCCTACTCTACTTGGACGACGGAGCCACCACGGATGGGTGTATGTTAAAAGAGAAAGGATGCAGTATGGATTTCCTCCTTCAACATGATCTCACGTTCTCTACCCCGCGAGATGCCATCAGCAGAGGGGGAAAATCGGGCGGTGAGGCTGAAAGGACATTGGAATTTTCAATCGAACACGCGACCCTTGGACCAATTTTTAGGGCGAAACAGTCGTGGCAGATTGCGAGAGGCTGGCCAGTGTCATTGGCCCGGCAACTACTCAATGGCTGCCGCTGACTTATTCGCCCGTCATGAGAGAGTTTGCGTGGGGCAGATACGAAAGTACCTACGGAGTACGGAGTACGGAGTAGATGTCAATACAGTACTATTAATATGTATGGAGTATTACAGTACTTTCATGGCCCATCACGAGCCAGGCACCCGAAAAATGGAAGAATTACACTTTTGGTATTATTCTTAGGATTTAGTGTACGGAGTATAGTAGCAGGCGTCTGTCAAGCTCACAACTCATCCTTGGCTCCCACCAGGGTTCGTCATAGATTAGGCTGAAAAGCCTCCCTCTTAAAACGTTCGTCGTCATAGTACACTCTCGCCACCGCTCGAGATCAGGGATACCGGAATGGAGCTAGAGTACAATCAGCACATTACAGATGCAAGAAACGTGGTAGGGTCCACTCACCACTTCCATATGGTGCCTGTGAAGCTCCCGGTGTGGGCATGAAGCCTTGCGGTGGCATTGGTGAAGGCTGATGTTGTGGATATGACGGCCAGCCAGCTGCTGCAACAGCTGCTGGGGCAGGATGTTGACCAGTCACTGCCCCCGGAGGAGGCAAATGGATGTCGCGGATCAGTTCCACCATTTTTGTCGCGTCCAGCCGAGCGTCTACATACGTTGAGGCTTTGGGGAGCACGCTGAGTAGGTACGTGATTTGTGGTGGCAGCGGGGGAGGAACAGGGAACGCTGCCAAACCGGCCGGAGGGTTCGTCTGACGTTGCTGCTGTTGGTTGATACGACGACCAGCCGCACCCTTCAAAGGTGACTCGCCCCGTGCCATCTTGCGCGGGCCAGCGTCCTCGAAATCATCCGGGTATGGCCGTTTAGGAGAATTCGTGGTTATCGAGTCGATAACCTTCTGGATCGGAGAGTTGACTACATCGGGTACTTCGATGGAATTCACCACAGAAGTCTGGGCTTCTTGGGTTTGGGTGGGAGATATAACGGGATGGACGCTGATGGTGTCGAAGGTGGTTGTGCTGTAGCGGCTGGAGAACAACTTCAAGTCGGGGTCTTCAGGGAATAGTTTCCTCATTCTCTCCTCCAGTGATTGAACTTGAGCCAATTCGCCGTATTTGGATTCATAGTCGTGCAGATAAGCGAACAACGGCTTTGCTTTGGCCGTGTATTCTGCGTCGTCGTGAGCAAGTAAACGTTTGACCGTGGTTTCAAACACCGCCCTGGCATTTGTTACATCGTTGATCTCAAAGAGATGCTTGACATATTGCAGAGGCAGATAGTCATCCTCCGGGAAAAGCTTCATGCCGCGATCAAGGATCTTGGTACCAGCGGGATCGCGATAGCACTGCCATTCGATGCGCGCCGACTCAACGTAGAATTCGCTGGTCAATTTGCCCCGTTTTCGCGCCTCGCCAAAGACGATTCGGAACCCACTAGGACCTTTTTCGCCGGGCAAGCCTTTTCCTTGAACTCTCCTGGTCGCACGCATAAGAGCAATCCAGACGTGTGAGATGGTACGACTCAACATGTCTATCTGCGCGTGGGCGCTTTTTCTGATAAGCTCAATCTGACCGTCAACGACCGCTTTCCTCGCCGTGACATTGGCAGCATTAATTTCATCCTCTTCCCCTCCATTAGCCTCGCCGTTTGTCGCAGCCGCGGCTTCTATTCTCTGGATCTCAATGGCTTCTCGAGAGGCAACCTTCTTGATCAAGTCGTAAAGCGCATCCAAAACTTTGTCATAGGGTTCACGGATTTTTTTCATTCTTTCCTTGGCCCCTGGATCTGCCCCTTCGTCGTTCTGTGTCGAGGATTCGACCCGATCTGCGAGCTTGAAGGCGAGGAGTGGTGATTCAACATTGGCGGCAATGCCCTGGTTCAGAAGTTTGATGCCGTCGTTTTCTAGTCCATTCGAGAAGCAGAACTCCACGGCATCATACCACATCTCTGGCCAGAATTGCAAAGCCATCAACGCTTGCTTGAAGGTAAACAAAATTCGATTTTTGTACAGAGCAAGATCCTCGTCTTTGATCACGAGATTATCTTCCTTTTCCCACTGGACCCATTGTTTCCATACGTGAACTTGATGAAGATATTCGGCATGACCATCATACCCCGCTGCCGGCGGTAAACGTGGTCTGGAGGTCCGCTTAAGGTCTTTGGTCAAATTTTGTAGTTGGGTGTAGGCAGTACGTGCTGTCATGTACACTGGAGATTTTTCTTGTAGATATTTTCGACCCTAGAATCACTTAGCACACAGATATGATGGGGACGGCTTTAACCTACATTGATCTTGCTAAGCCCCGTCTCAAAAGCGTCGTATTCCTTCCAGAGGACTGTCGTCGCGGCTGTAGGTACCGCAATTGCTTTTTGGTATGCTTCTCGCAGCGTGTCGACTTTTGCTGCGTCTTGCCAACCAGTACCTCCAATCGTGCCAGGTCCACTCTTCAAGAAGGTGATATAATCCTGCCACAGGGGCCCAGAGCTCATGTCCATGCCGATGGTCTTGAGAGCAAAACTGAATGACTCGTTGATGATGTTGTAGGACCTGGTCACATCGCCGGATTGCATACTGTTACGCCTGCGGATGTAATTGATGTATAACGTCCAAAGTTGCACGTCAAGAACTTCAAGGAGAGATCGGTTGAAAAGCGTCTCCATTGCACGAAGCCGATCGTGTTCTTCCTCCCATTTCACATAAGCGCACCATTGTTCGGCCTAGAGATGGTCAGTCGTGAAGGGCAACAAAATTAGGGATCACAACATACAGCTAGGGGAAACACTGTTAGGTACTGCTCGTAGATGCGTCTGACATCGTCTTGCTTGTTTCGACTCTTTAGTTCATCAATCAGTTCGAGATATGCAGCTGTGTCTCCTCGCGGGTCGTCTTTGATGCGATCCTCGAGAATGCCAATCACATCATGAGCTAGTCGAGACTTGGGTAAAGCTGCACTGACGGTACCATTCACATGAGAACGGGGTGGAGAAGGTTGAACTGGAGCTTGAGTGGCAGGAACAGTCTGAGCAGGTGTAGCAGTTGCAGCACGAGGCGCATCACCGCTTGGGGGGAGAGTGGAAGAAGAAATGTCAGTGAGACTACCAGCGGCCTGGACAGGAGCAGGAGTGATTCCATTTTCTTGTTCTGGGGACTGGGAACTTCTATCAAGGGGATTCGAAGGGACAGCAGTATCAGCAGCAGGAGTCGGTGCATCGAAATCCAAACCAACGGCTGGATCATAGACATCTGCATCATCTTCATCATCCTGCTCCGCCTCTTCACCTTCTTCTTCGTCATCATCCACTTCAAACCCACCCACAATCCGAGGTTTGGATTGCGCCTGCGGAGGTACGGGAGTCATGGACTCTGCCATTTTTGGCGTCGCGGCTTGCGAGGAAACTTGGCTGACAGATTTCATGGGAAGAGGGTGAATGGAAGACTGAGTCGGAGATAGTATTGGATCAGAAAGATTATCGACAGGAATTTGTTCTGATGAAGATGCTTGTACAGTTGATTCTGCTTCGGCTGCGCCGACGATAGCACTACCAAGGCCAGCCTGCTCCACCGTCGCAGATGGTGACAGATGCTCCTGGTCTGAAGAATCCGCCATGAGGATGTTAGAATTGATATTAGACAGTGGGGTGAGAATCGAAAGGAGGCAATAAAGAAAGCAAGATCTGCGAATGTCAGTGTCGAATTTGATCGCGACGTGGGAAGGCTGACCAGAGATATCCCCAAGGGCTATGTGGCAATATGAAACAGGAAGACCATGACTTTTTATTTGTTTGGAGAGACACAAAGAGATTCGTTCCGAGGATTATGGGTAGAGCAAGGTGTTCGAGTTGATTGTTTTGTCAAATCGATGTGAAATCATCGACGGCAAAAAGAAAGGGCCACAGCCGTTGAGGACATGATCCACCGTATAAACTACACTATTGGTTGCTAAAGTACGCGCTAAAACGCGACCTATTCGATGGTCGCGACGGTTGATTGAATGCGTCTTCAAGTTTCCAAGCGCCCTCCAAAAACCACCGATACCACACATTTTGACTCTACATTGTACAATCTCCTGTGTAAAATCTTGGACCCTGATTCTATCTCTTCAACTTTGAGCGCCACTGCCCTATCCACATCACACTTCTCGCAAAGATGTCTGTGGTCTCGCTTTTGGGCGTCAAGATCATGAATAACCCTGCACCGTTTACCGCTCCATATGAATTCGAGATCACATTTGAGTGCCTTGAGCAACTTCGAGAAGGTACAGACTCTTCATGACGACCCTGAAGCACACAATCACTGACCCTAGCGACTCAGATCTAGAATGGAAACTCACCTATGTCGGCTCTGCAACATCTGCAGAACATGATCAAGAACTCGACTCACTTCTCGTTGGACCAATCCCCATCGGCGTGAACAAGTTCATCTTCGAAGCCGATCCACCAAATCTCACACGTCTACCCTCGTCAGAAATTATTGGTGTCACAGTCATTCTTCTCACCTGCTCCTACGATGGTCGAGAGTTTGTCCGTGTTGGCTACTACGTCAACAACGAGTACGACAGTGAAGAGTTGAACAACGACCCGCCCGCGAAGCCCATCATAGAGCGTGTGCGACGGAACATTTTGGCGGAGAAACCTAGAGTGACTCGATTCGCGATCAAATGGTGAGGACCATATTGAGACCCAACTCAATTCCCCCCCGAACTAACACAACTTTTCTTTTAGGGATTCTGAAGAATCAGCACCTGCTGAATACCCACCAGATCAACCCGAGGCCGACACCCTCGACGACGATGGAACAGCGTACGGTGCAGAAGAGGCGGAGATGCAAGCCGCACTAGAGAAAGAGCTCGAGGAGACTGAGACCGCCGCACAAGACACACAAAAAGACGGTGATCAAGAGACGGTCGAGACGAAAGAAAAGGAAGAAGACGAGGAGAGCGAAGCCGGCAGCGAGGATCTCGAAGAAGAGAGCAGCGAATCCGAGGACGACGAGGAAGACGAGGAAGGCGCCGAGGCCGAAGACACGGAAATGGCTGACGGTGAGGATAAGGCCCCTGCTGCCAACGACACAAACGGTGAACAGAAGTCGGCCGACTCTCACCCTGAAGTCATGGTTCATTAGACCCGATGTTGTTTCTTGAATCTCAGCAAGGCGTCTGGAGTCGAACAAAGCTGACTTGATGGATTTGATGTAAACATGGCACTGGATGAAACAAGAAGACAAAGTAATGATTTTTTTCCCTTCCTCGATGAGTCGTTATTGTTTTTTGAAGATGAGCATTGAACCCAGCGTCGGATGACCACAGTCAGCCATTCGATAGTTGTCATACCATTAGACTGGCATGGTTCTATTCATGCTCACAGAACGAAGGAAATGATGTACATTATGACTTTCAATTTCAGCCTTAGTTTCGGTGTTCAACGTAGGCCTAACTATCCCAGGACGACACTTTTCGAGTGACCGTCCGATGACTGCTCGCTGCATGTCTTTGAAAATCACAGCCTCGGGGAGAAATGAAATCCAAATACGTCGACGCGTGAAGGAAGAATTCATATTGGTATATAGTACAGGGAAGCGAAGAGCATTGACCTGTTGATATTACGCTGCAATGTGGCTTCCAATGTCAAGTCAAGAAAAGTTCCAGGACAGAATGCTTTGCAGTAACATAAAAAAAGTCACAACACCTCCTGAACGAGGTGGCTTGCCTGCTGAAACTTAAGACTAACATGCACGGCGAGAACAGAAATGCTGTCGGTCCGCCGTCAACTCATACACCGCTGTAAACGGCGGTAACATTCCTCCCACATTCAACACGCTGTTCCAGTTGTACTTTTCGCCCCTTGACCTTGACAGTATGTTTCGGCGTGAGATGAAACCGGTGCTCTTCCTTGCGCCCGGCTTCAGCCTCTGCGGCGGCGTCTAGTGGCTTGATGTACATCGGGTTGGGGACGTTGTTCCTCTTGCCCGTGCCGAGTTGGTAGAACTCGTTGCCACCCCACCACAGCACGTCGGCGCCCCAGTTCGTGTCGTTCTCGCTGCTTTTCTCACTGGCGTCGAGGTACGTCACGTTGTCCATGACCGCCGAGACATGCGTCGCTCCTACACTTATCTGAGCCATCCGAATAGGGATCACGGACTTTTTACGTTCATCGTATTCAAAGAGGCCACTCAGCGCGGGTATCTTGGTCAACCCGTCTTGAATGTGCGTCCATCGGCCATTGCCCAGTGCGCCTCTGATGCCCGTGCCACAAGACCATGTGTCGCTTGTGACGCGGCCCAGTGTGCGGATTTCACTAGGCTCCTCGGACGGGCCGACCACACGGGTTGCGTCGACGGTGAAGAAGCTGTTCTGTCCACCTGCCGAGATGGACGTCACTTTTGGGACTTGATTCGTGCCTTGGTAGTACTTGGAGATTGGTAAGAGGGAGGGGGTGTCGACATAAGGGGCCTCCGCGTTGTAGTCGAAGCCCAATTGTCCAGAAGAATTGTCACCAAACGCAAAGACACGGCCTTCTTTGTCAAGGACAAGTGAGTGCGTGTCACCCGAGGCCATCTTTGCGATATCAAAGCCCTTGAGCGTCGTTAACTCGTGGCACATATCATAAGGGCCTTCGGGTCGTGTGAGCCAAGTCACCCCCGGCACCCCAAGCTGACCACGATTAGGAAAGTCTTCGGTACCAGACGCGGCTGAAAAGACACGACCGGAGTTTGTGAGCAAGAGGACATGCTCGAGGCCGCCGGAAATGGCAGTGACCTTTTCACGTGCACCGAGGCCTTTGGGCGCCAATTTCCTGTACGCGACGTCGGATGTGCTCGACCAGAACGGTATCCATGAGCTCTCACTCATTTTCTTCCCGGACTCTTGGTCTAGTTTTGAGACAGGAACAGAATAGACCGTGCCATTCTTGCCGAGTCCGATAATTCGATCTCTTGACAACACAATAGAACTGAGGTTCTTGCCCTTCAGCGTGACTGTGGGCTGGACTGTATCCTCTGAGTATCCTTTACCCCACTGCACGAGATCTCCGTTCTCAAGAACAGCTGCACCGAAGTTCCGATCCAGTTTGAGGTCCCGCAATAGGACATCATCGAAGTAAGGTATCCTGCGTGGAATTTTGACGTATGCTTCGTCCGAGTCTGGTGCGACGACCTTGCCGGTATTTGAACCCCAAGCATAGACTCCGGGGTTCTCCCAACTCTTCTTGACTTGTAAATGTTGCGAGCTTATCAAGTCTCGGATTTCCTCTTTGGATGCGCCCTTCTTCTTCTTTGACTTTTCGATCACCAGTTCTGGGGGTTCCTGTGCCGGGGCTTCGGCTTGGACATGGTTGGGCTGTGAAGCGCTGTATACTACAGCGATAGATGCCACGACAGCGAATATTGCCGTAGATGGCCTTTTCCATGCTTGATGATGGGCAGAATGATGGGCAGAGGCATTGTGGATATGGCGTCGGGAATTGTATAGCTGTACACGCGACCGACCTTGAGTGAGTCCTGGTCGTTGAGAACGTACTAGACTGCGCGCAGCATTTGTATTGAGCTTTGTCAAGGCCATGGCCACGGTCTCATTATTCAAGGGGTTCGGGAATGGTCCAAGTCATCACCTCAAGATCATTTGTGAAGAAGATAAGTAGTACTCTCCGTACATGAATGTCACACTTCGTATTCGGAAATCGAGGACGTCATGTCGTGCTTATTTCACTATGATCGACTCCGAGGCTGCGGAGGTTCACCGGGTGCTTTTTCAGTGGACAAGAACAATTTACAAGCCACCGCAGCCCATTCCCAATCAAGTCATTTGACATTTGATGCCCACCATTTGTGCTGGCTCAGTGTTTTTGCCGACTGTATCAATAGCTGGATGGCAATGAAAAGGTGTTGATGGGTTTTCTCATGAGCAATCAAACAACAAAAGACAGAGCCAGTCTGTCGTGAACCATGTCCGCCGCAGACAATGTTGCGGACAACGAAGAAGATGCCACCCTAGCACAACTTCGCGATGCAGACACAGACCTTGATCTGTTCAGGTTGGCCGGAGACATAGATGACTTGTTATTAGACGCCAGTCTCGATGAGTACCAGTATGTTCATCGCAAAGAATTTATTCTGTATTCATCACTAAGCGCAAAGCAGACAATATCTCGATCAGTTGGACGCCGCAAGAAGTCACCTCGACACCCTCCTCGCCGACACGGCCGCGACGCTCGACGAACTGTCCGAGATTTCGGCCTCCTTCAAGGCAATCGACGCGCAGACCAAGGCCTTCCAGAAACAGTCGGCCAATATCCTCGAAGAGCAGCGCAGAAACGACACGATCGCACAGGAGATCGCGGACAACCTGCGTTACTATGAGCCCCTGGAGAAGATTACACGGCGACTGAACGCGCCCGGTGCAGGTGCCTTTGTTAGGAGCAAGGACTTTTCGGACATGTTGATCACGCTGGATGAGTGCATAGACTACATGCAGACCCATCCGGGCCACAAGGAAGCCGAAACCTATAGGTCCCGATACAGGCTCTTGCTCACGAGAGCACTCACGCTGGTGCGGAACACGTTCATGGCCGGCGTGCGGGAAACCACCACCGAAGTCGCTGGCAGGATCGCGGCGAAACAGCTCAACGACACCACCATGTCTGCTCTTCTGTACGCCAAGTTTCGCGTCGGCTCGGCGGAGATGAAGGAGTTGGGTTTGGAAATCCAGAAGCGAGCGGTTCCTCCCGCGGACGCAGAAGCCGGCACGGAAGGGGAGTATCAGAGTCTGATGAACGAACTGCATTCGAGCTTTGCCGCCTGTCGAGCACGGCTGATACTGCCACTCGTCCAAAAACGCCTGACCGAGGTAGGCCAGGCGCCGAGCTCGAAAGATCTGGTCCAATTCGCCCGGGCGAGCATAAGCTACATTCGCGGCATCTGTCTTGACGAGTTCGAGCTCTGGTCGGAGTGGTTTCACGGTTATCGTGGACTGTACGACTTTCTCGAGTCCATCTGCGAGCCGCTATACGATCATCTCCGGCCACGAATCATTCACGAGAACAAATTGTCCAAGCTTTGCTCACTCGTCACCCTTCTACAGACGCGTTACTTGCATGACGAAGAAGAAGATGGCCCCGCGGATCTCAACCAGCTCGACTTTTCCATGCTCATTCAACCAGCCCTCGAGGATGCGCAGACACGCCTCGTGTTCCGTGCCCAGGCCCTTCTCCGCGACGAAATCGAATTGTTCAAACCCCATCCTGAAGACCTGGATTACCCTCGGCGAACGTCCGCTCCTCCAACAACCACGACCCCTTTGTCGGGTCGTCGCAAATCCCGTGAACCCACAACACCGTTACTCAAATCGCCTGAGATTGTAGACGAAGACTCGGGCGAAGAAGGCGCTTTCTCTTGGACCTTTGCGTCTCGCCGCGCGGAACTGCGAAATTGCTACCCAACTCTTTCGAAAGCGATCCGCCTGCTACATCGAATCTACAGATTGGTCAACTCCTCCGTCTTTGACGATCTGGCTCACCAGATTGTCCATCAAACCACTGTATCACTACACTCGGCATCCGTCCAGATCAGCTCGAAATCCAGCCCTGCCGATGGTCAGCTTTTCCTGCTGCGTCACTTGCTCCTCCTCAAATCGCAAATCGTCGCCTTTGACATTGAGTTTGTCACGCCAGACGTGAGTTTCGACTTTTCCGGCGTGGCCAGCACCTTTTGGGAACTCCGTGAACGAGGTGGCCTTTTCAACCCGCGAAGCTGGATGCGTTTGTTCAGCAGCGGTGGGTTAATACCGCGGGTTGTCGAGAACATGCTCGACGCAAAAGTCGAATTGGATGGGAGGTTGAGGACGGTGATCAACGACTTCACGGCCGGGTTTGCGAGTGACATGACAAAGGATCTGCCACGAGATGTCGACAAAGTCAGCAATAAGAACAATGCGCTCGAGAATGCGGTCTCGTCGACCAGGAAACGTGTTGAGAAGGAGATACCCATTCTCAGGGCGAAGCTAGAACAGTACCTCGACGACATGCGGACTCGAGAGACACTGGTGGCCGCGGTGGAAGATCAAGTAGTCCAGATATACGAGACATTCTTCGATGGATACGTGAATCGTTTGAGTAGTGGAGGCGGGAAAACGAACGGCGCCGGCCCGATCTCGAGAAAGGGCAAAGGTCCAGAGAGCGCGGTTTGGGATATCGATGCGTTCGCCGAGTGGGCAGAGGGTATGTTTAATGTTGCCCTACCGAATGTCGAAGATGATGGAACGAGTCATCCTGGAAGTAGGAGTTTGTCGAGAAGTGGTAGTCCTTAGCTTTGTTTCCCGCATGGAATGGTGCCAATGACATGATGAGAGCCAAAAAGTGGCATAACGCTGTTGTCGTTTTCAATCTCCACCGTATTGTGATTCAGGTCTGCGACCGAGATTCAACTTGCCTCGTCCTGTTCCTGTCTGGAGTTTTTGTGCTCGTTGGATCCAGGTCGTAGCCGCTTCGTGTACGCCTCCAGAGATTGTACATTCACGCCGAACCAGTTCCTGAATTTTGTCAACCAAGTCGTTGCTGTCATTGCTTTCGTTTTCCTTGTCGTCATTATCTTCAACAGACATGTCCTCCATCTGAGATTTCAAATCGTGTCTGCTGCCACCACGCGCAGTAGCTTTCTTTCTATTCCCCACGATTCCAATGTTTCTCGTGCTCGGAATCCGCATGAGCGTCAACTCGACGTCGATGCCGATTTCATCGGCCAGGGCAACCACCTTGCGCGTCAGGCACGCGTACATGGACTTGTCGTCGTTGTGGGTTGCTGCTTCGGTCTTGGCCACCCGAAGAGCCCTGAGGTCTCCCGAAGCAGGTTGCTCCACTTTGTCGTTGGCGCTGGCAGAAGAAGAAGAAGAAGAAGAAGAAGGCGGGTGTGTTCGATTGATGTCCTTGGGCAAGTAGCGATGTTTGGCACCACTCAGAGCGTGAGAACAGCACGGGATCGCCAGGAATGGTAGTGGATTTTTGGGGCTGGAGAGAGCCGCGAGGATCGGCGTCCAGGGTGTGAGTTCGTCTGCGTGGTTCGAAATGATGAACGTTCCTGGCTTGAAGATACCATCTTGAAGGTTGGCGTTGGGAAGTAAATCGTCAATGATGACACCCTGCGTGACCGCGTCGAGGAATGGCTTGGGCACGCATATCATCTCGTGTAGATGTTGGTTCATTTCGAGAGCATCCCATGTGCGGCGGCGCCTAGCGTCGAAACCGTGGCCGTTGTACCCTTCCTTGATGAGCACGTAAGTAAGGACGCCGTTGCCGCAGGCCACGTCGACGAAACCGGGGAACGTCCCTGGCGAGTACATTTGCTTCCAGAGCTCGATTACAAAGGCCGCGATGGACAGGTCTTCAAAGACGTGCTTGGACGGCTCCGTCTTTTCGACCCACCGAGACATGAGGTCCGGGGCGTACTGTTGCTTCAACCGACTGTACGTATTTTGGACAATGTGTTGAGGGAGGATCGTGTCTTTGATGGCCGACGGTGCGGTAGAGAGACTGGCTGCCGTGGTGACATGGCTGCTGTTTTGGTGGCCGTCTCCATTGTGCTTGGGCTCTGGACTTTGGGGCTTCCGGTTGCTGTTGTTCTTTGACAGTCTGAGGAAGGTCTTGAGGAGCGAGATCATGGTTCGATGGAGCCTACCAGTGGACGACTGATCGACCGATTGAGTAGTAAATGGAAGATAGTGTACTGAGAGTGTAGCCGTCGTGTCGGTCGCTTGTTCAAACACATACGCCAGTGATTTGACCGTAGGATGGTACCAGGGCACGTCAGTCTCGCTGTCGACGTCCGGAGCGTATATCACCACACGACCGCCGGCGGCATCGGCACAAGTCGTCTTCTTCGACAGCTCGTACACAAAACACCACTGTTCCAGTGGACGGTCCAGCCGAGGGTTGCGAGGAACAAGTCTCCTGTGAACCTGTCTCACGAGGATTGCGCCTTCGAGTCGCGGGGCCTTGGAGCGCCCGTCGGCCTCCTGATAGCCTTTGCTCTGCACTCCATCGTCATTTTCTGCCGGATACTTGCATTGGTTCTCCTTTTCTGAGATCGTCTTCAAGATCTTTGCGCTGTCATGCAAGATGTCGGCCCGAAATAGGTGGGTCGAGTTGAGGTTCGGATTTTCCAAAAGAACATTCGTGATTTCGGTGAATTTTGCTTCCGTCAGCCAGGGACAATCTTGTCGAAAGTCCTGATGAGTCTGCCATGCCTCGGAGGTCGACCGAAGGAGGGACAGACTCATGCCTGGTAAGTGATCCTCATTCGGATAATGGGCCAACTACTCCTGTCAAAGTCTTGTGCGATCCTGTTATGGCTGGAGGGGAAAATGCTTGGTCCACTATTTAATAGTACGAGTAAATATTGTTGAATCGTGTCTGCCTCGTCCAATCAAAATATTACAGTTACAGGCCACTCGACTTTTCCAACAAGAAGCCAGTTTTCACGACTTGTCAAGAGCATTCTTTTCCACAATCCTCTGAGCTCGGTCAGCCGTTCCTAGCAGATGGCGGAGAGCATGGAAACTTTGCAGAGAGACAGACTTTTCTGGCGACACTATGAGAAGATGGGAAAATAACACCAAACACAAGCCCAATTTGATTTGAAGTTCCCAATTCACAGTACACTTTTTCGTCCCTGTTGGGCACCAATACGACGCCCCTCGCTTCTTCTACCGTGCGTACAGTCTGGCCATGTGGGCAATTCTTCAAAGAGCTCCTTCTCGAGCGGACTCCTGGAATGATGCACAATTTGATCAAGTTGCTGTGACATGGTGTAGCCTCGCACAATCCTGTCCCCTACCTGTTTCACTAGACTAGTCTTCAGACTCTAACTCCGTCACTCGTCCATGTAGTTCCACCCAAGAACCCAGCATCTTGTAGAGTACCTCGGAATCCGGCCTTGCGCGATGAAGGTTGTTCAGATTTGGGTCGTCGGGATTCAAAATCCTCGCGACCTTGCCCAATTTGTATGAAGCCAACCCTGGGAATCCGTTAGTAAGTTCTGTGCATCCATGAATGCTTTCTCTTGGTACTGACCAGGCATAAACCGCATGAACTCCCTAGTCACAGACCAGCACTTCTCGAGAGGTGGGACCATGCTCTTCAGGGACATTCCGGCATCTGCCAATAACACCTCCATACAATGACGATCAAACCAAGAGGTTGAATGCTCAACCCAGAAGGATTCAGGATTGAGACCTGCCTTTAGCAGTATCTGCATGATCTCTTGAGGGGTTTTGGCAACAGGTGGAAACGGCTAGTCTACTTCACCTAGAAATAGGCGTACTCGGCCAAACACTTCAGAAGCAAACCCGTCTTTTCTCAGCATCTTCTCGAACTGCTTGTTTGTGACACCTTCGTTGTTGATTACGCAGTCGACAATCACTTGACCGTTCCCGTCGAGAAAGGCAACTTCAGGTAGTCTTCGAGGTAAGCGTCTTCGCGTGCGACGTACGGTTTCAAAATCAACGATGAAAACGTCCTTGGGCGACTTGTCCTTTGATTCTCTGTACCGAATCGCTTCAAGGGGTAAATTGAGCCCTTGACAACCTGAAAGAATGACTGATGATCAATCACGTTTCGTCCGATACCCAGTCGTTTACGTCCAGTGGTGAAAGTCTTCGGGCCAAAATTGAACGGATCCGGCAACCGTGCAAGAGGCCGCGAGATCAGAGACATGACGTGGACACAGTAATCGCAGGTGGGCCACCACTGTGAACAGTCCAGCCGAGGGCACGAAGACGATCATTGTTGTCTCGAGTCCCAGGCTGACTTGATCCGCACATTCAAAGTGATGCCCTTTTAACCAGAAGCCTGCACAGGTCTTTGCGCCATCAGCCTTGATATTTGACAATTTCAGCTGGTAGAATTTGAGATTTGCTTCGAGGCGGTTTTGACGTCGCTCTGGTGTGAAGTACTTTGAAGAACCCCCTCGGTATGCTTGCTTGTACTCGGCATCGCTGGGACGCTGTAGCTCCGCGGTAGAAGCAACAGTAGAACCGTTCGGATCTACGTCCGAATCATGTGCGTTGGCAGAGTCAGCTCTCGTCGAATTCAAGTGATACTCATAATGTTTTTGAAGAGCATCATAGGTCAGATGTCCTCTGCTGGGATAAGTCATGTTCGGGAAAACTTGGCTGCAGTCATTGTGACCACACTGGAGCGGACTGCCAACGTGGCAGTATAATCTATGACGTTCAAGCTGGCGCAGCGTTACAAAGCCCACATATGAGCACTCCTGCTCGTGGCATTGCCACACACATCCTAGATGCACTGTCAGGACATGCACAGCCACATGTCTTTTGGTATATCGTGACGCCTTGATTCGGTAAGCACAGCCGGGCCACGGACAGATGTAGAACATTTTGGAGCTTCCATCAGCGATCTCTGTCTCTGGAGTTTCGCAGGAGTTTGGATCCCGAGAAGTATCTTCTTCTTGCTCAATATGCTGCATCTCGACAAGATTGTCAGAAGCATCAATCTGGGAGGAGCAATTAAAGTCATGTTCTGCAACCTCTTTGATGTTCAATTGCGTCCGAAGCATGGAATACAAAGGATCCATGGGCCCAACGCAGCGTCCAGCCGCACGGCTGTAAGTCGAATCCATATGCTCGACAGCCATGTGGCCCTCCCAATCTTTGTAGTCGCGGAATTCTCCAGAGTCCACGTGGCAACTTACATCACCACAGTACCACTTGAGCTCTGGGCCACCGTGTGCTTCGAGATGTAGGTCGATGGCGAATTCGTACTCGAATACCGCTCCGCACTGAGGCACCCTCCACAACCAGCCGGCTGAGCTGTGTTCTGCATACACGATGTTGCTTAAGTCCGACTTCTGAGCCACCGAAACATGCTTATGGACACGATACTTTTTTCCTTCGAGATCTTGGACCGATATCTCCTGCAGGTGATAGACCTCACTTCGGCAGCAAAGTACGGTTGGATACATTGTACCAAGGCATCGCAGGTCTCTTTTGGGTTGCTAGAAGACAGAGCTGTCGGACGTGAGTCGCATGGACCCCTACTATGAGAAGATGCGATGTCGTCTTTGCTGCCTGGTACTCTAGGCTCGTTTCTGGCATCTTCTGGAGCAACTTCTCCTTCTCCTTCTTCTTCGTTTTCTTCTTCCTCGCCATCAATTCGGCTCAACTCTTTTGGCAGGCGATATTCGTCGGCTTCTTTAGGTGTCTCATCTGTATCGTTTCGAGTATCTTTGAGCACGTCCTCCGAGTTGACACTGCTCGCCCGGTCATAGTGCAAGTTCAGAGGTATGGGTGAATGGGTTTCCTTGAGATGCTGAAGAAGTCCTCTCTTGGTGGAGGATTTGATGGCATTTCCACAGTCTGGACAACGAGTTGCACCAGTATGAAAAGGGATATCCCAATTAGAATACTAGGAGGTAATCCCAACAAACCTGACCTTTACCTTCCCTCTATTCGCAGCGTGTGGTGTAGCAAGTACTGGCGCTACAGAGAATCATCACATGACTTTATTATCTTGACGTTCACTTGTGCCCACGTACACTCGCCATGTAGCCATTTTTAGGCCTTTTTTTTCCGCTTTTGACCTTGAGCTCTGACTTTTGATAGACTACCAAAAAAAATGCCAAAAATTTCCAAAAATGCATAATTTCGCCCACGCTGGGGGTCGAACCCAGAACCTTGAGATTTCAGAGAAGATGGCTCTATAAAAGTCTCTGGAATAATGTTAGTAGTGTCCGGAACGAGGAGTTTGGGGCAGTCCCTACCACGCGCTAGCCATTGTGCCACGCGGGCTTGAGGTTGCATTTCCATGCCAGATTTGAACAATAATTTGAGAAGTAAAAATCATATTGTGGGTTCTGTAGACGGAGTTGAAGAGAGATCGGGAGACATTCTGTGCCCCGCAGGGGGGGCTGTGTGTAGGACCGGGAATCCACAAAGCCAGGCCCGGATCTGGATATGCCTTCATGTAACTCCATGTCAAGTATTCCATACCCTGTTTGATGGTGCCACACTTTGTGCGTCGAGAATGTATGTCACCAATCAATGGCCACCTCCTTTTCGACGACTCTGGGCTCTGCGTTGGTCGGGATTAATCCAAGGGAGGACGAGCTCAACCGTTGGACGCAGGTCGTTAAAAGTGGTAGAGTACGTCGGGCCCCTGCAAAGCTTGGAGTAATGTGGAGTATCACTCAAGGACTTCCTCCAATCCAGCATGCTACACCAGGCTAAATCTAGGCGGTGGAAGGTATTCTACATCTCAACAACTATTTCCTTTTAAAGAACTTCAAGAGAGACTCTGACACCGGCGTCGAATTTCAGGCCGAATTCTAGCGACTACGATCATTGGTTTGAGGCAAAAAAGAACTGGGGGAGGGGGGAGCTTGAGTGGGACGGTGCGCTCCTTAAGATTCCCTTGATGCACCAGTAACGACTGCAAATGTGTCGGGACGACAAGGAAATATGGTCTATTGGTTGCTTCATGCAAAACAGCTATCTATCTATGAATACAAACACAAGGAAATCTTGATAATCATTCTAGCCACGCGTTTTGGGTATCATTCTTTGTGTATCTCAAACTCATTCAAATCATTCTCACCGAGGTCAGCAATCAACCGGACGTCCTCTCCTCCTCCAAATCAGGGCTCTCTGTTGCGTCCTCTTCCTCTCTGCGCTTTTGGGCAAGTTTGGGCTTCGTATTCGGCGCTAGCCTCTTCGAGTTAAGGGCCTGGACGGCTCTCTGAAGTGTCTTCTTCAAAAAAGAGGACAGGGTGACTCTCTGCCGTGGCTTCTGCCTGGCGCCGTGGAGCGAGTTGGGCTTCATACTCGTTATTGGCCTCTTCGAAATAAGGACGGGAACGTCCCTCTTAAGTGTAATTCTCGAGGTTGAGGCGAGGACGGTCCTGCTGGCTTGTGGCTTGTGCTGAAGGGAACAACAGCGCCGGCACCAGACTTGGAACACGCGGCCATGATGGTGGAGCAAAGCCGTGCATGTCGAGGCGAGATACTGCCTATGAACGAAAGGTGGTCTGGGTGGGCGCCGGGTATAAGAAAGGCTTCTGCCGACGCGGCGTCGGGGGGAACCTAGTGTAGGTCTCTCATCTCTAACGACCATGCGTTTGCTTGAGCCCTCTGTTCTCGGAGCCCGCGACTCAAGCTCCATGTCTAGAACGGAAGCAACCTTTGGATGCTGCGGAGTCTGCGGGTGAGTAGGCTGCGAGTGAGCACCCTGAGATCCGGGAGACAACATCGTTGTCGACATGGTACCTAGGACGTCATCCTGCTGGCTAAACTTCACATCGAATGCCTCGGCCATCCCCCTATGTTTGAGCACTCGGTTTGCACTGTCTGCATACGGTTTGCCCCCGTCGGTCGTGTTGAAGACTTTGAGGATGCTGAGGGCGGTTTGGAAGCCAGCTTTTCCTGGTTCTTCTGGGTTGATCCGTGCGATGCCATCGTCGACGGGTGCCTGGAATTCTCGGATGTCTAGTCCTTCACTTCCGGCGCATCTTCTGCATCGGATAAGAGCGATTGCTGCCCGCTCTCATCAACCCCATAATCGCGAAAATCTATAAAGCAAGGAACGAATCCGATGTTTTCTTTTGTGACGTCCTCTGTGAGGTCCGGATGCTTATCGACAGCATCTTGATCAATCATATTGCGGCCAGCTTCGTGTTGTTGGTTTTCCCGGGCTCTTGAGTTTCCGCGTCGATGTTCACGGGCTCAAAAGATGGCAAGATCTCGGCCTCTAGCTTTCCCTCTGGAAGGTCGGCAAGTTGAAGAAAAGGATCGCTTCCTTTGACCGGCTGCTGTCGAAGCTTGTGAACGACACCAGAGAGGAGCAGGTAGTACTCCTCGCTGAAACAAAACTTCACAAATTTACATGCAGCACTCTCCCAGCAGATATCAGATGTTTCATAGTCAAAGTGGCAAGGTGTGCCTCCGGAAGGACGCCAATTTTCGATACCCGTAGTCATTGGTTTCATATGGTGTCGATGACCCACGGAGGACGACAAGAGCCATCGAAGGGTTGGATGGGGAATCAAACCAAGTTCACCGCGACCACAACGATCAATGGGTATACCACAAGTGAGCCATTGCCACAATGAGCTCTTCGATTTCAGCGCTTTCGCGATTGGGGTTGTCTTTTTCCCGCCGGTCGCTCTTGTTTCGCATTTGCTCGTGTTTCACATAAACGATGTCGTAGAACGTGCCATGGTTATAGTCGTCGGGCAAGACACTATCAAATGCGAACGAGCAAAACGGATCATTTCGCCGCCGCAATTTCCGGCGCTTTCTAGTATCCAGGCCATATGCGTTTGCCGCGATGAAGATGTTCTTCATGAAATAATCAAAGTCAGGAACCAGTCCGCTGGTCTGCCCATGATCAAGCCTTGTCTCAAAACTTGATAGACCATGCTCGTCTTCACATTCCTCGGGAGAGGTGCTCCATGATGGCAGGGATATTCGCTGGCAAAGGTTTGTTCAACCGACCGCCAAGTCTCATATCAGAGAAGGAACCCGGGTTTCGATCTTCGGCCGCATCTTCAACTGCGAGCACCATAGCTGATACAGCTCGTAAAAGTATTTTTTCGTAACGCTCGATTCTCGATTCGACGAGGAAGAATACAGTAAGGCTTAGAGAGTCTGTAGCAAGTATATATATGATGTTAGGCTGGGGCCATGCCAGGCAGTATGTAGCAACCTGAAAGAGTAGTAGAGGCGAATCAACTGCCTGTGACACGATGTTCTTACAATTCGCCAATAAGATATACTCCTCGGTTTTTTTTTCAGGCAGTGACATAGGGTCAAACATCAGGTAGAGGTTTCTCATCAACAATCAACAATAGAAGTGAAATGAAAGTTGCAGAATAACTTGACACTCAGTTCTCTTCCGGTTTTTTGAGGCATATAGAAAAGACAAAACTTCCTACATTGACTGCTTACCTAGATACTCACAGATGTCGGTGACGGAGGAAGCAAATTTCGTGGCCACACTTCGTCGAACAGTTAAGCGGTCAATTAATCCACCTCCAATTGCAGCAGCTCACTCGGGGCGTCGAACATAAAGACATACACTATCACTGGTTAGGAAATGTTTGTTGCTATCGTTCATACAAGAGACTTACCGAATTCGAGGGGTACAGCCTCTATCTCATTGCAGGATCTTGTGTGTACTAGCTAGTCATAATAGCATTAAACGACGGCTTCCTCTCGACGACTCTAGGCGTTAGTGAGCTTCAATCCTTCAATCAAACCAAAATGGATTCGTTACAACAGCACTATTGATCACAATATCAGGAAGCGATTTAACTGCTCGACAATGGTGATGTGCAAGGAGGAATAGACCTCTGTCTTCCTCTCCGGCGCCGTATTGACACGGGACTCTACCTGCGCGCCATGAACAAGGGGAGCCAGAAGGTGATGAGCAACAGGATTCAACCACACGCAGCACCAATAACGTCTCATGGAAGGGCCAGTTCACCAAGCACTGGAATGCTGCTCAGGAGGTTGCGAGAAAGGCTCGGGAAGAGAGTGCGAGCGCGAGCGCCAGCAGGCAACACGCCACGACACTAAAAGCGGATCTCAAAGCACACCTGCCACCACACTTCAAGATGATGATAGTAACGGTGATGGCTTGCAATCAGAAGCAACAGAGACCGAAGGAAGCGAATAGCTTGCATCCTGAGCGTTGCTCAGGACATGCACTAGTCGGCGTTCTCGATTATGCTTTTGACGTCACTTTACATGTGAAACACCGCGCTTATCATTCTGCTCTCCTTTGCCTTCGGGTAGATTAGGAAGACAGAGACAATACCATGAATTGAACCTGAACTTCTGTTTTTTCGTCCTTCCGCGCATGTAATCTTAGGTACTTGTCTTTGGGGTTGATAAGGCTTAGGCTACCTATCTACGGTGGACAACCTAAGAGGTTTCGTGCCTGGCAAAAATCCGTGAACCCCACGGTTATTTACAAGTTCTCTGTCTCGACCGACGGAAGAAACACTTCGTGCAAAGCCCCACCATTCTTCCGTGACCGACCAGTGCAATCAGACAAAGTCCCGGTGCGAGATCAAAGACACTTCAGGGATCGAATCCAACAAGTCCCAAGGTGCCGACTGGTCAAACAGGGTCGGTCCCAGCCCTGGCGACGGGTGCAGCCCATTTGTAACCATTTCGCTTGATGGATCCCGACATTCCGTCACCCTCGCAGTCAGGTCCAAGCCGTTGACGTCCACCCGAGGAGCTCGGTCAGTCGGCATGCGCCCTGCGTGTGGCGGACAGTCGTGGATCACGTTCACTGCGCCTTCGAGCTCGGGGTAATATCGAAAGAAAGATTCGTTGACGCCGATCTTCCGAATGTCTTTGAGCGTCTCGTCAAAGAGCGGTGACAGTATGTAGAGACCGGTGGCAGAGTTGAGCAAGTAGCAATCACGAAACTCATAAGGCCATTCGACACGCATGCTGTTGATAAACATGGTCCAGAAGTGATTCGAGCAGAACCGATGCTCGTCGCGATCCAGGGCCTGGCGTACACCGGGCCTTTTTCCTGGGATTAGTTTCGGGTCCTTTGCAGATATTCCAGATCGGTGTTTCTTACCATGCAACAAAGTTCGTAGCGTATGCGGAATGGTCAGCGGTGACTCTGGGATCGGCATCAGCGTGCGTTGTATACGCAGACAGCGACCGTCTTACCTGCTTGGCCAGTACTTTGGGAGTTTTTTGAGTTGCGTGTGTGTCGTGTCGAGGTGCGCTCGAAGGACTCGACTGACATTACACAAAATCCCCAGCCGACTTTTCGCTGTCTCAGCATGACTGAAAAGTCCCTCGTCCATGGTACGGAGTAAACGCCACATCGGGTGGACATGACCACGTCGCTCCACGGCGTCCCATCCCTCGAGTATAGCGCGGATCGGGGTGTCGTCATGGAACGGGTCATGGTCAGGCACCGCGGGGACCAATTTGGGCCACTTCATCCACGCGCTCAGGGTCATGTTGCCTTGATACCAGAAATTGAGGGTCTGCTTCTGGATAGATCTCGCATAGCTGCATTCACAGACATAACCACCGATGGGGGCCAGTAATGGCATGTACTGATGATTTCGAGTTCCCCGGGTGGACAAGGTCATTGGCAAGTCCGAGCTTCGAGGAACTTCCAAAATATCTGACTTGCGTCTGGAATTTACGACTGGCTCTGAAAATTTCTGCAAGCATTCCTCTGAAGTTTCCGACGCTGGATCGACCGCCCCTGTATCATGCTCAGGCTCGGCAGCAAGTGAAGATAGGTTGAGCGCCGACGAGGGTGTATTCTCCACTTTTGGATCTTTGAGCGTGGCGGGAGTACCTCCCGGAAAGAGGATGCTCTCAATACTTTTCAGTTTGTTAGCAAGGCTGTCGCGTTCCTGCTGTAGCTGCGAGACCGTCTCCAGGAGTGCTGCGATCTTGCCAGAATCGTCTGCCCGGCTCAGCTCTTCGACAAGTTTTTCCAGTTGGGCAATGCGAGACTTGGTTCTCTCTCGAGAAATCCGTTGGCATTTACGGTCAGATTCTCTTTTTTTTAGGCGGCGTTCCATGGCCATATTTTGGCCGCCTGTCATGGAGTCGGCGGAATCTCCAGGATGCCCAGACTCAATGCGTGTCTTCTTGCGGGCTGGGGGAGCCATGCCGCCTCGAAGAGCTGGGGTTGATTAGCACGTAGAGATAGTTTTGTGAGTAAGTGGATGCTGGATTAGTATCTGGGACGAAAGCGATGATGTAGTCATCGATACAAGCGAGAATTGGCGGCAAGTGAAGAGAAAGAAATATGTAAGAGACAAAAAGTGATGAACATGGTGGGCTGTTCTGGCCGTGCTTGCTCCTTGATCTGGGGGTCCCTATTCTACCCCGGAAAAGAATCCGCCCGCGCCTAAACATTCGGCCCACAGACCAGGCAATCAACTTTACCTAGGCACTCGTTAAGCGCTAGAATTGATTAGGTCAAGGGTTTCTCCAGTTCGGCAATGGGGCGGCTTTCAACTAACAAATGCCTACGGATACGTACCTAGGTACTTGAGAAGTTCCGGCGGCTCCCAAGACCGTTGACATAGAAGTGGCATTGTCAGCCCATTCACATAGACTCTGAAGACGAAAATTTGCAATATATTTGGTTCCAAATCGATCCCTAAAATCATTATTGACTTGGTCTGGGTAGATCCGGGATGGCATCTTGCCCACGAATCACCTCCTGTAGCCAGCTAGGCCAGCCTCGAATTCCTCCAGCAAAGCCAAACCGAGATGGTAATATTAGCTGCCCGCTCTCACCCTTGAGTAGTTGTGCTACTATAGCTTCTGCCACTGTTTCGGGCTCCAAGGTGAATTCTTTCCATTCCTTTCGGGTTGTCAAAGGGTCTGTAAGCGGCGTCCTGACCCAGATGGGATGAACAATGCTGTGATGCAAAAACTGGATCAGCTTGGAATACTCGTCAAAAACTCCCTGTAGCCGATACTTACGTCGTTCGTACTTTGTTGGCTCCATATCTAGCCCTCAATTCATTCCCAAGACCCTCATGCAACGCGAGGGCACCTGCTTTGGTCGCGCTATAACTGACATTGTTGGCGACAGACACGAAACTTGCCATGCTGGCAATGGTGACAATATGGCCATGGTTGTGTTGAATCATATCAGGGAGGAATTCCTTGATCAGTTTGAAGTGAGCCAGGATATTCACGTCGAATGTCCTCTGAACCTCTTCGTCGGTTTCGTTTAGGATTGTTGCTCCGCTCCCTATGCCAGCATTGTTGATCAGAACAGAAGGGTGTCCTATCTCTTGGCGTACTCTTGATGACACCTCTTGAATGTCTTTCTTCGAGGTAAGGTCAACCTTGTAGTAAGACACATTTTGGGGGAGCTGTGTCTCCGGAGGGTTGATATCGAGAATCACGACTTGAATGCCTCTTTTTGCAAGCTCATCCACAACATGCTTTCCAATTCCACTGGCACCACCTGTGCAAACAACAATTTCTCTTTGCCAATCCCACGATCGATCATTCACAAAGTTGTTGAGGGCCAGGCGACTGAGGGATTTGTTCAGCTTGAAGACGGTGACTGTGGTTAAAAGAATTTTGAGAACAGTCTTGATCGAATCAAGGGAAATATCTCTTTTCGTGATCGCGTACACAAATTGTTTTGTCGCATCAGGCCTCTTGAGACTTGCGAACAAAAGGCTCGCTGAGATGACTGGGTGCAGTAGAATGCCAAATGGTCTGAACAGATATTCAAGTGTCAGACCCTCCCTTGGTGGCCTCAAAACCGACATGATTGCCGGAAGCTTTTCTGATTGCGAGTAAATCACTAGATGCAAGTGTTGACGAGAAGGCTTCTATTTCTGGCTTTTCCAAAGGGCGGAAACATGGGAATAAGTACTTTGAGTCTCAATCGAAGACTTGATTGAGATCTTACGGGCCCCTAATGGAAAGCCTCTGAGGTAGTGGGAAGCCTAATGTTCTTATACCGAGACCTGGGTATCTAGGTCCTCGTATTCTCCTTAACTTGCTCCGTACCCGCTTACCTTATCGTACCCAAGTACGGAGTACAAGTAACGGAGTACGAGTATTTCGAACTGAAACTGTCGCGTGTTTCCTCTGAAATTCGGAGTATTGGAGACTCCGAATCAGCCTTTCCACCAAAGCGGCAACGGCCAATTCTTACGTGTAACGGATAAAGCGGCGGCATGATCAAAGAGAGATTGTAACAAGTCGCTCGCTGCGCATCAAACACTTGAACAAGAAGCGCGATCAAGAATACTTCAGAAAAGCTATATGTTGGCAGACACTCAGGTGCACGCTCAAGGAGGGCCGAACATGGGGCGAACAATCGACCAAGATGTCCATGCGGCATTTGTCGAATTCAAGGCCAAAGGTATTGTCATCTCCAGTATTGACTGTATTGTATCCCGTACACCGCGTTACTGGTACGGGGACGGTGGTGTCAAGAATATGCTGACCGTATCGTCTCCACATAGAGGACGACAAATGCATGTCGGTTCAATGCATTTATTGCCAGCAAATTCGAGCAAAGAATACGTCGCGCCAGAAGCAGCATCTCCTAGAGTGTCCCGGCTTACAAAACCATCCTAATGCTCCTCGACCACAGTCATCCGCTGGCGATGGCATCGGCCCGGCGAACGGCTTCGGCACACCATCGAGTCTGCATCAAACGAATGGTCCCATGAGCAATGGGATGCCGACACACAGTACTCCGATGCAAGGGATAACTTCAACGTCCTCTATACCCGCCACAACTCCTCAAGGTGTCGCTACCACTCCGCGGAGACCGACGCCCAAGCCCAAAGTGCCCAAGACAACTCCCAGTTCGAGTCTGCCTGCACCGCCGCTCGATGACGTCCATGCTGCTTTTGTAGAGTTCAGAGCCAAAGAGGAGGACAAATGCTTGTCGGTACAATGTATCTACTGCAACCAGATCCGAGCCAAAAATACATCGAGACAGCGCCAGCATCTGCTTGAGTGTACGACTTATCAGAACGTCATGAAGGAGTCTATACCAGCCAACAATCTTCTACATCGATTCGATGAAGGCGACGTTGCTCGTTCTCTGCAGCTGCCTACACCTACCTTGGAGCTCGACTTCCGCATGAGTGTCAAGGTGAATCCCAAGGTTTCCATCGGGTCGGGTCTTTTTGGCCACCGTGACTGGGTCAGCATTGTTGGAGGACAATGGGCAGGCAGATGGGGCAAGGGCACCATCATCGTAAGTGTTATAGGATCTGAGTATTGCCGCCAGTGTACTAAACTCTTTGCTTCAGCCAGGTGGTCGGGACAATCAACTGGTGGTGAAAGATCTCAACACACGCACCGACGCAACTTATCTCCTACAAACAAATGATGAACCTCCGGCGTTTATCACGGCTACAGCAAAGGGCTGGCGAACAGGACCGAAGGACGTGCTGGAAAGCTTGAACGATGCTGCTGAGGCCGACACCATTCCAGCTAGCCAGTACAAATTTCGCATCTCCATCGAGCTTGAGACGGGCGATGAACGCTACGCCTTCCTCAACACTTGCCTCTGGATAGGAAGTGGATGTAAGAGAGCCGAAGAGAGTAAGTTTTGATGCGCCTTGATCGAAAGCGTGGCGGCTTGTGCTGACCGTTGTCCAGTCATCTTCGATGCTTATCGAGTGGGTTAGCTTTCCACCGACGATTTCCATACTCTCGCAGCAATTATGCCACTAGGACCGACTATTTACTGACTCATCACGTTTATCACGAGCACGGCGAATTGTGTGTTCCTTATGTATATTTGCATTGAAATTCTCGTAATGGATCAACAGCCGTATGCAGGCAGTCAGGTTATTATTATCGGAGGATGGTATTTTTATCCGGCCCTATCATTAATGTTGCGATGCCTGTGGACATGGTCCTTATCGCAGAGACACATTATCTTAAACCATTGTGGTTCATGTTGACTTTGTTGGACGGAGTACGGATACAAGAGAAAGCTGAGCGTTCAGACGGAGTATGGATATGCTTGTAACAATGATCAGGGAATATGAAGGAGGCTGGTTCTTCGATTGTGCGAATGGTGAAACATACACCCATGTCTTTGCCAGCATTATGAAATAGCACGGCGTCAAGTATTGCAAATGCTCCAATCATGTTGGTTTCTGTGGCCTTTTGGCTTTATATACCTGGTGCTTCTACCGTGGGATTTCGGCAACCAGGTTCTCATACCCTGTACGGAGCACCATCTTGTGCATTTCATCTCTAGCATGCCTCTAAATTGCTTTAAGGAGGACGGAGTTGTGCCGGTCACTAGAACCGCAGAAACACTACTTGACTCTTTGCAGAGACTGCGTGCTGCAGTGCCACAGTTCTGTACCACGATCCAGGTATGTTTTTCTTTTCAGGCCCCCCGCGTGTCGCCCTGTATTACGACTATAACGAGGCTGCGCACCGCTTGCCTTAGGTAGGTACGTTAGGTTACAACATCATGCAACGGACCCCATGGGGCTCTGTGTTTCCCTTACCACCGCACCACCAACAGCCATGTACGGAGTAGCTGCTCTGCTATTGCCCTTTTTTCTTCGCGAAGGTCAAATGTCGACCTCGCCAGCACTCGCAATCATTTATCTACACAAGTAAACATTGTCAACAGCCTGACGATATACCAACCATCCCCCGCGTTTATCGCCTTGCTTAGCGGCTGTCGAGTGACTTTGCCAACGGCATATTTAGGAAAGACGGCGAGGAGTCGGTTGGATGAAGCGGGTGATGCGACCATGTCTACCTATTGACAATCTCTTGCTTCTTGTTTACCGCCAAAATTGCTTCTGACATTTACTTTTACTGCACCGGCGTCTCAGAAGCAACGCGCAATCTCTGCTCGAGTACCAACCCTTGTGACACAATGTCACAGCGTTATCGTTCAGCTTCAATCAATGGCCCCGACGACTACAACCATTCGGAAGCCCTACCATTACGTCCAATTCATCGGCGTGAGTTGAGCGACGCAGATTCTCCTTCACTAGATCTTCCAGGGATTCGGGGAACGTCGTTATCAGGGCTAAATTCTACACCAACCGCTCATTTACGGCCTGAGACCCGACCACCTCGAATAATAAGGGGTAAACCGCAGTATCTCTCACTGCAAGACGCCGAATTGGTTGACGAGCCGACTCCTTACACGCCGGGCCTTTATCCTCGCACGACAAGGCCTTCATGGAAGCCATATTCGCTCCAATGGCCTTTTCTGCTGTCCACACTTTCAATTGCAGTGGCGCTGGGTCTCGTGGTCATATTTCTATTGGCTTACTCCGCTACTCACCACGGTCTTGGAAGAGATGACGGCTCCTCCAGTGTTCTCTTTGGATGGCGCTTTACCCCGACTTTGATAGCCGTCCTTTATACCGTTCTGACGGCAATGATGTATAACGATACCTTGAGGACAGAATCTTTCTCACAAATGGCACATTCATCTGGCGCGACCTCCGCTTCTAGCATTTTGAGAAGTAAGGAACAGTGGTGGACCGCGCTTTGGAACAGCCTCCAACGTCGCCATTACCATGATCAAGTGAATTTTTATCTCCTGGCGATCACACTCGTTGATATTGTAGGGTTTCTCCTGATCAACCCACTATCTTCGGCGCTCTTACAGAGTCAGTCTATCGAACTCAAGTCACAGATTTCATTTTCTCGCTACCTGGTTGGCGAGAATGAGCCCATTCGTATGGAATCAGATGATCTTGTCTACTTCCGAACCATTGGGAACATCCTTCAAAATCTCACAACTTCCGCCTGGCTTACGGATAAATACGCAGTTGTCCCGTTCTGGCGCCCACCTGGGCCATCGAAATCGGATACAACACTTACGGATATGAACCAGCAGTGGCAAGTCAACGCATCCATATTCTCTGTCGACCTTGAGTGTGAAGCAATGTCTACCAACACTACAACCGCCAAAGATGGAGCCTTGATTCTATCGGACAATACAGGGTGTGAGACTGCGATTGGCGTATGTGGTGAAACGATTGATACACTTGGTGGCGGATCCTGGTTTACACCACCGAACTTCGTGACACCAATTTGGGACAAAGAGACCTTTCCAAAGTCATGCTACAATAGCACTGCTCAATGTGCTGACAGGCAAGTCATCTTGATGACCAATAGTTCTTGGGACTTCAACGCATCATACAGCGATAGCCAATGGTTCCGTGCGTCTGCATGGTCATGCAGCACGACTTTTTATCGCGCGGATATGCCTGTATCAGTATCGACTGGTCCTGCAGGATCTTCCTTGGACATTGATGACGGCACATTCAACGCTCGTCGAAGATTGATCGAGTCGACATTTATTAACCAAACTCGGTTCGAGAATGCTTTCTTGAATCAAAATTGGACAAGCGTTATATACCCGTCGTATCCCAGCTCGACTCCTAAATGGGGAGGAGTTTCTGTCCTTCTAGCCGCTCTATATGAGTTTGCGCCGTTGAGCATGATCGGGAAGGAATCTGTGGTGGATCAGGCACAGAGGATTAAACAACGATTTCTGGGCGAGATGATGTTGAATACTGTCGTAAGGAACCCGCTGACCCAGCAAACTGGAAATGTCATTGTGACTGAGCGCCGAGTTGTGGTCAATTTGCCCATCGCCGTCTCTTTGGCCGTGTTGTTTGTACTCTCTGCTGGCTTGATTGCTTTTGCTCTTTTAGCATCTGGCCGCCGTCAACTGAATCTGTACCACGATCCTGCCTCGGTTGCTGCGTTAGTTCAACTCACCGAAGACGATACGGTCCTTCGAAATCGCCTCAAAATTGAACAGTCTATTTCGAGCCCTGGAAATGGCACTCAAATACGTTCTATGAGGCATTATCTGCGTGATGGCACGATTTCGACCATTGAGAACAAAGTAAACAAACAAGGTAAGTTCCAGCCTTATACGACCTCGACATAAATGACAGCTAACGAAGCGGTGCAGAAGGAACTGTCGATGACCCACTAGCGAAGAGAGATGAGCATCTGCCATTTCCTCTGCGTCTGTACGCAGGGATGCTTCTCTTGTTATTGCTCGCTCTCGTCTTTGCAGCCATTTCGACCCTGTTTGCCCTCGCTCAGACCGTTGGTCTGTACGAGTCGGCCTTCACATACCAGACAGATCTGGTCCCCTCAGGATCATCACTATTCACTTTTGCTCCATATTCGATCATTCCTACCTTGTTGGCCGTCATCATCGGTCTGTGGTGGGACGGACTTGACGACACAATTCGAAGACTACAACCCTTTGTCACGATGAGTCGAAAAGCCGTAGCAGTGTCACCTATAATCGGCTTGTCCTATCTACCTACGTACTCTGTTGTCTCTGTGGTGAAGGCGCTGAGGAACAAGCACGAGCATGTGGCGCTTGTGTCGACGGCCGCCATTCTCGTTCAAGTACTGACGGTGTCCATGTCGGCACTTTGGCAACGGGCCGATGGCTCTCGACCTGGTGATCTCACGTTATCACGCACCTTTGAGCCCAGGACCCAGCCCTTCGTGTATACCCTGGCAGGTAGCACTTCTATGGGCGCAGGGGATCCGACGGGCGAAGAAATCATCTCGAGTTTCTATGGAAATCTCTCGACCAATTGGCTCTACTCTGCCGCCCTACAACTGGCGTACAATGGGTCGGAACCACCGTGGAGTAGCGACGGATGGAGCTTTGTGCCGGTCATCTTGTCCTCTATAATCGAATCGGACGTGTACAAGAACACACCTTCCACAAACGACAGTGACTCGAGCACCTCGCCATCAACTACAAAGGCCGTCAACGTCACGGTCACGACTCCTGCACTGAGGGGTGTTTTGGATTGTAGCACCATCACACAATCCAGCAACCTATCGGACTGGTCGACGCAATGGGATCTGACGGACCGCATGATTTGGAATGTGTCAAAGAACCCGACCGGCCTACAACGGGGGTATGAGGTCAATTCTGGGTTCGACCTTGCACCCAGGACCGATGAGTCTCGCACGCCCATCCTGGCTCGGTACCGAACCCTTTTGTGCTGTAGGAATTTGTCCAGCACCGACACCGACAGCGGCACATCGGCGCTCGGGTACTGGTCAAACAACTACAATGGGGCATTGGCTTATGATTTCGACAATTCGTACGTCACGTACCCGCGCAACCTCACGATGAAATGGATCCGCGGGTCGACAGCCCGAGAGTGGTACTCGATGAATGAAACGTATAGCGGCTACTACAGGGGCGAATACGACGACTTCCGGCACCTCATTTGGACGCAGGAACCGCAAATGTCGGCACTCAACTGCCAGCCACGGGTAGAGTGGTCCAACGCCAGCGTCACCGTGGACATGGACTCGGGTCGGGTGTACAGGTATAAGATCGTGGATTCTGTGCAAGAGCTTCCCGAGGCGTTTAGCGACGCGTACGTGGAACACGACTATGTCGCGCCGGGCGACAATGCCACCGAGGGCGTCTTCCACAACCAATACACCGTCAGTTTTGGTGTGTTATTCCAAGATGCCATGCTGTTTGCGTCGGATTTGCAGAAGTTCTGGCCCTCCGGAGGTGATGGCGAGAGTGCTGTCGAAGATTTGGACGACCAGAATTTCAACATCCGTCTCGAATCCAAGGGCCTCAACACCGACCTCATGTCGTTCGCCATGTACCAGCTCGCCGACGGCGATGTGGACGCGTTCATGACGGCGGACGACCAGAGCCGCATGGAACAACTGGGCCAGAAAGTCTTTTCGACCTTTTTTCAACACTTTGTCTCGGCCAACGTCACGGCCGAAGGGGGTTGGGGATTTCAGAAACTCGGTGCCACTTTGCCTGCCATCCTCGCACCCACCGCCAATGGATCTCAACCCGACACCAACTCGAGTTTAACGTCCAGCACCGACGCAAGCGTGCACGTCGACATCGCCGTCGAGGTTCTCCAAATGAGCCCCGTGGCAGTGTATCTGTCCCTGGTACTCTTGGTGTTGTTGATTCTTGTCACGTCGTTCGTGTACACTTTTGGTTACAGACTGTTTAGGAAACTCCGGTCCAGTTTTGAAAATTTGGCGGACGTCGTCGGCGTGGTCTGTGACAGTGAGAGGTTGAGAAGGTGGGTGAGGGATCATCCTGACCCGAAGAGTTGGGTAGAGAGAGTGCACGAGCACGGGCGCGACGACGCACGAGTACCGCTCGTGAGGTTGGGAATGTTCATCGGGAGTGATGGGATGGAGAGATGGGGGATAGAACTTGTGGAGGCAGAAGAAGAAGAAGAAGAAGAAGAAGAAGAAGAAGAAGAAGAAGAAGAAGAAGAAGAAGAAGAAGAAGAAGAAGAAGAAGAAGAAGAAGAAGAAG